TATAAACATTTAGATTCTCAAGAATTAATTGACAATGCTTCCACAGAATTAACGAACATAATAATTAGAACTGCAGATAAATCTCTACGAAAATGGAAAAAAAGACGTAATAAGACAAATAAAAAATCACAGAAGTGGTTTGATGGTGACTTAAATTCTATGAGGAGAAACCTACTCAGCTATGGTAAAATATATTCAAAATTCCCAAAAGACCCTACTGTTAAAAATCACTAATACAAATTATATAGAGAATATAACAAATCAAGAAAATATAAATGTCGCCAATATAAACAATCTTTATTAAAACAACTAGAAATGTTACACGATGAAAATCCTAAATCTTACTGGAAACTAATAGATAAACTTCAAGAAGTAGAGAAAAATAACAGTACTGAGGCAATTTGACCCTTCAATATGGGTCTCCCATTTTAAAGACCTTAACAAACCTAAACCAAACTTTAACCATCGTCTGACACATTTAGATAGCATCCTCAATGAATTAGAAAAAGAAAAATGTTTTAACGAATTAGATAGACACATATCTTTATCAGAAATATCAAATGCTATTGCAAAAATAAAAGTTGGAAAAGCTCTAGGGTTAGACAATGTTTCTAACTACATGATCAAGAATGGTCAAAATTCTCTGTTACCTTGCTTTCACAAATTTTTTAACAGCTGCCTCGCTGTTGGCCACTATCCAAAATCATGGTCCTTGGGCTACATTACTCCTATCCATAAAAGTAGTGACATCTGTGATCCAAATAACTACAGAGGCATAACAGTTACGAACGCTATTGGTAAATTGTTTAATAAAATACTTGACATTCGACTTGATAAATTTCTTACAAAACATCATATATAATTAGTGAATGTCAAATAGGTTTCACTCGAAAAGCAAGGACATCAGACCATATGTTTATTCTTAAGACTATTATTGATAAATACTGTAAAACCAAAGAAGGTCGAGTGTATACATGCTTTGTTGATTTTCAAAAAGCATTTGACACGGTTATCCACACAGAAATCAAAATTAAACTCCTTAAAATAGGGGTAGGAACAGAATTTTATAAGGTTATTAAGACCATGTATGTATTAAGCAAATCTTGTGTCCGTCTGGACAATAATATCACAGATTTCTTCCAAATAAAAGTGGGTGTAAAGCAAGGTGATAATCTCAGTCCAAATTTATTTAAAATATTTATTAATGACCTCCCAGAGTATCTTAACTCAGCTTCTGATCCTGTTATTTTAAACTCGCACCCTTTTCATTGTCTGATATATGCCGATGACATTGTTTTATTGTCAACCTCAGCTAATGGTTTACAGCAAAAATTAAATATCCTACAAAGATACTGCATGGAATGGTGTCTAAATATTAATACTTCAAAAACAAAGATCCTTATCTTCAATAAAGCAGGCAGGTTGTTAAAAATAAAATTCTTTTTTGCTGATGTTAAACTTGAATGTGTGTCCAACTACAAATATCTTGAGGTTTCATTCTGCTCCTCCGGTTCATTTTCCCTTGCACAAAAACATCTATACCAAAAAGCTCTTACAGCATTTTTCAAACTCAAGAAAGACATAATCTCATTAGGCCCTGATATCAAAACCATTATTCATATATTTGACCACACCATCAAACCAATATTGTTATATTCCTCTGAAATCTGGGGTTATTTTAATCCATTTACAAAGAAACTTCATGATTCTAGCTGTACCATAGACAGAGTTTATTCAAATTTATTATGTGAAAAACTCCATCTTAAATTCTGCAAATCAATTCTAGGAGTACATAAATCCACAACAAATTTTGCTGTGTTGCCTGAATTGGGAAGATTTCCTCTGCACTTTGACATATTAAAAAACATGCTAAGTTACTGGCATAGACTTGATAATCTTGGCCAATCATTTACTTTATTGCATAATGCATACTTGAAATCAAATATACTTTTTAAGCAAAACACATCCTCATGGTATGGCTCAATCAACTTTTTTCTTTCTAAAATCATTGGAATTAAAGATTTGCCTTCGGCAAAAACATATAAAATTAAAAGTGTTATCAAAAATTGCTTACTTAAACACTACATTAAAGAATGGCATTTTCACCTCGGACTGAACTCTGGCAAAAAGTTAAGAAACTATTGCACCTTTAAACAAAATTTTGGTTTTGAGAACTATTTAAGATCAATTAAAAACTTTGAACATAGAAGAAATTTAACACGCTTTCGTATATCAGCCCATAGACTCCAAATTGAAAGGGGACGATACCAAAACATTCCTCAACATGAAAGGTTTTGTCAGAGATGTAACAACAATTCAGTTGATGATGAAAAACATTTTTTATTCTGTTGTAGTCAAGTTAAAGAAGAAAGGGCCATTTTGTATGAGATGATAGAAAAATATTGTAAGAATTTTGATAAGATGGACAATGACTAAAAACTCGTATGGCTAATGACCAATGAAAATGTTGACATTCTCACTCAAATCTGTAAAATGATTCAGAACAATGGAAGATGATTCCTGAAGAAGTGTATCATTATGCATTACATTTCAAGTTATATAATAGGATCTTTTATAAGCTGTCTTGGCTACCTTGGGTACAAGACTGACAGTCCATACCATCAGACTGTTCAAAAGGCACCGTCCCTTGGTACCCAAGGTATAGTCAGGCCAACAAGTTTTCCTTCTGTAAGCCGTCTTGGTTGCTTGAGGTACAAGACCGAGCAAGTTGGTTCTTCTGAAATACATATTGCCAGACTGTTCAAAAGGCCTCATCCCTTGGTACCCTATGCTGCCAGGCCAGCAATGTACATGTATATATTCTCCACTTCTCCATATATAATTTGTAGAGTCACAAACTGATCTGCTTTGTTATACTTTCATTATGACAGTAATTTTATGTTTACTTGCTTACTCTAACTACTGCTTCTTAACCTAGTCTGTTCATTGAAGTGTACAGCAGTTTGTTTTTCCTTTATATTGCATGTGATGCTTATATTTCATTGTATGAACCATACCAGTAATTTAATTTAATTGTTAGTTGAGAACACTTGCAAGTGAGGATCAGGTCAATACTGCACCCAATGCAGTCATTACTTGTTATAATCATGATTGTATTGTTTTTAATTGTACATGCCCCTTGAGGGCCCTTGATTGGTGAATAAACATATTATTATTATTATTATATTTTACCCCATGAACCAGGGGAAAAACAAGACTCTTGAACTTATTTTTACATTATTTTCTTATAAACCATTAGTAATATTACTGTAAATCACTTTTAATTCGCTAAAACTTTATTTTCGCGTTACTTTCGAGTCTGTCTACTCGCGAAAATTTTATTCTCGCGTATATTTGTATTTTAAGGATTATAAACAACAGAAATCACAATTTGCGAAATTTTCGTCTCGCTAATAAATACCAAATAGCTATCTCGCGAAAATAAGGTGTCGCAAAAGTAAAGTGATCTACAGTACTCATGTGAATATTAACTCAAATACCATGCACAAATGGTCAACGAAATTAACAAACATGTGACGTTACATATAGCGTCTGTGACAGTGGCGGATTTAAGGCGCCCCCCCCCCCCCCTAAAATTGTCAAAGTTAGAATAAATCATAGTTTCGTCGAGAAAATGTAAAAATGTACTCGGTAGATCACATTTTTACCCTACAAAATCTCTAGAATTCAGGAGACCCCCTGCCTACTTTTGGCACCCCTTCTATCTTAAATTCCTGGATCCGCGCCTGTGTGAGCACATATACTGGTAACACTTTCAGTCTTGACGGTCTTTCCTTGTTTATATCATCAATAAAGGAAAATAATATAATAAATAATAGCTAATATTTCTCAAATTAGCTTTTTTAAAAACAATCTGAGGTTTGTTTATTGTTGTGGCGTCACAATAAGGATATACTGGTGGTAACCAAATAAACAACTTCAGCATTGTTCTAATCATATAGTTTTAAACTTCATTGTTCTAATCATATAGTTTTAAACTTCGTAATGAACGTTTAAATAAGTATAACTGTACATTCCTATAAATTTCTTCTTATAATTTAACATCTGAAAATACATGTGCACATTCTCTTAAGGTGAAATATCCCTCTGCTCTAAATTTCACCATTTTTTTTAAATTCCCAACATTGATTTTCATCAACAACAATAGCATTAGATTCAAATGAAAAATAGTTTGAAGTATGAAGCGTTGCTTACTTTTTAAGAAACAAATATGTCTAATCATGATATGAAGAAAATTTGATATGATGAATAGAAAGATCAACAATTTTTCATCTCAGCATAAAATAAATATGAGGTATATATGAAAATGTTTACAGTCATACCTATTTAAATCATATTAGAAAACACAATGAAGCGTTGCTTTTCGAATAAGAATATCACATCGTTTTCTGTGCTTGTAAAATAAAAATGCATCCATCCACAAGAGTTATCATTCCATCAACAGGAGTTACCTTTCTTCAAAATATTTCCAAGAGAAAAAATATTAATGAATTGATTACAAAAATTCTGCATCTAAAATTCTTGTAATAATTAAGAGAATTATATGTTAAGAGATAGAAATATCTCAATTTAAAAGTTTAAAGGAGCTGAATATAAATGTTTTAGTAAACTATTATAAGTAATTAATAAAAAAAAAATGGCAATAGAAAATAGAAATCAATATTTGTAACGTAGTTCAGATTTGATGGAATTGAATACATAATAGTCATCACTTGTACATTCAGGCGAGACAATTCATTGGATTGCTTGGAATAATTTTCTTCGAAAGTTATCTATCTTATCAGAGGGACATTACACTTTAATATGTATTAGATGCACTCGATGAAAGGAAACTGAATTTGTTTGGCGTATATGAGAGATGAGAATATCTACGTGTATATGTACATCAATTACAAGGCTAAATTGAAATGTACACATGCTTCGCCATTTTGTTTAAAAATGGTAAAATTATATTAAAATTAAAAAAAAAAAAACAAATAAACAATTCAACTGTTTATAAATATTCTGTTTTACATGCTCTATAAAAGATGCTGTAACAATTTTATCCTTTATTTGTTATTTCAATTCGGAAGGAATTTGAAATCTAAAGATTTAATACACCTAAATCATAAAACAGACATGATCAAAATATCCAAAACAACCAGGAAGTAAGGTAGTATTATTTGCTGCATTTAACATAAACTGTAAAGTGATCTAATAAAATATGTATATACATGTATACAGGAAGCATATGGAAAATGAATGGATCAACCTCGTTCCTGTATCTGCACATATTTAACATTTCTGTGAATTTGTAGTGTTCTTTTTCTTCCTTGACGATTATTACCGAGAAAATATATTTATATGGTTTTCACTGTAAAGGAACAAGTCATAAGCATATCTATCTTAATTCATCTTAAGATACATTTTATTTATCAATTAAGATAGGGGCGTCTATGGTCAGAGTCAATGCTACTGATATACATTTTAGTAAAATAAAAATAAATAGTGGATCCTGTGTTTCATATTATAAAAAGTTTTTTTTAATTATTTTTTTTCTATGTGTACAATTCGAATCCTTTCAGAAAATAAAAATGTTGATGAAGGTCAGCTGCATTCTAATTTTATAGGGAGATGGACTTTGAAGTGCCCACGTTGGAGAGCTCGGTGCCTTGCATCTCTGCCTTCTTGAGCTTCTTAAGATGTTTCCGGAGAATTAACCTCTTTCTGATGATAATGTAAACAATTAAGTTCAGAATCCCCCCTATGTTGGAGAAGGTGGTGACGAGGTGATACACCACCTGGGGGACACTCTCCGGCTGGACGTAGGCCCAGACTCCGAACATGGACATTGCCCACCACTGGACAAAGAAAGCCAACACAAACAGCGACATGTTCCTGGCAGCCGTGAAGTTGGCGGATATCAGTTGCGAACTGTCGCCGAGGTGGAGTCGTTTGGTTTCTTTACGGATTCTGAGCCACGTTAGGATGTAGAGGATACTATTCATTACGACAATCAGGACCAGGGGCACAGTGGTAAAGAAAAGGTTAGCTATGGTTCCTTTGACGCCGTCAAAATAGCAACTGAAACGGAATTTAAAAAAAAAGTTTTATAAAAAATGGCTTTTAATAAAATTAGAGATAGATTACATGTCATTTGAAATATATATCGGGTGAATTCAATGATACCCTAATCAATAAGAAATCCAGGGGCCAAAACGCTTGAGCCAGCTTGCTCAATGAAAACCAATGGATTGGTCCAACGCTAAGCCGAGGCAAGTCTTCAACAAATTTCGATACCCATATAGAGAACTTAGCATATCAATTTGACAAACTATACAATGTAGCTGTGTTATTTTTGAGATGATGATAATTAAAGTACTCCATTTATAGAATTTCAAACATTGATCGGATTCCTTCCTGGCTCTGGAAATAATTTGAACAACCCTTTCATTTTTCATTACATACCAATATTATAATTTGATGAAATCTCAATTTGACATTCAATGAAAATATATATACAATTTATTTCTTTTGTATCCGTTTTTGAATTTTGATGCAATATTGGCCCCAGTGTTATAAATTATACACACCTCATTTGTGTTACTCATTATTACAAGTAATTAAAAAAAAACATCGGTGAACACATTACTTGTGAGTTTTAAAACTTTTTAACCATATTCATTTGACATGTATACCTTTGTACTTTAATTGAGAATGAAAATTATATTCCCCTACACATTCTAGTGGCCCTATTCTTACGAACCGGTTGATCTACAGCATGTAAAACATTTGAATGACCTAGACAGACAGAAAGACAGACACACTCAAATCAGAAAAGTTTAGCCTCGTCTCAGTCTCAGGTTGGTCAGTTCAAAAGTTGGCTGCTTTGGTTATTTTCATTGTTCAGTTCAGATTAGAAATTTACGAATTCGAAGAAAAAAGAAGTCAAACGACATGGATTAACTTTGTTACTGTATTTAAGTGCAAATAGATGCATACTCGCCATAAATGTAAACTATTATATTTATTGCCTTCAACAAAATGTGTTAGGTATATAATTATCCTTTACCTCCACATTGTAAGGAAGAAGATAGATGTAAAACTGAAACAGAGAAAGAAAGAGACCGAGAAAGATCGAAAGAGATACAATACATACAATGTCCCATTTGGTCCAAGTTGTCCTAGGATACCAGCAATGGCGGCAGTTACAAAAGGTGTACCAAAAGTCCATAGAAGAAGTCTATAGTCCTTCCTACCAAACGGAATCTGCTTGTTAAAGTATATCAAAATAAATGCGTTTATTGCGACAACATTGACCATCAAATTCTGAGCGGAAACAAAAACCGCCAAATTAAATCCATAAAACTCGCAGAGTTCTCTGGGATAGACATGACCTCTGACGATGACGATATGGAGATGGTCAGTGAAGTGAGAGACGTTAAATCCTCCATCGCAGAGAGCAAGGTACACCACGAATCGCTCGCTTCTCGTCCACTTGAAAAATGTCTTGTAGCTTTTGTGACGAAATGATAGTCCAATAACAATGACAACACAGATGAAACTGGTAGAAATACATAACAAAGCCGGTATGTGTATGTAAAGAAACTGACCATTAGCCAGTCCGTATACTGATAGATCGTATCCCGATCTCAAAATGGTTTCTGTTGTACTGGACTGGTTCATGATTCTTCGGGTTTAATTCATTTCTTCTTCATGTTAGGAGTCTGAAACACTTCCTCGACTTATCCCTTCAACCTTCCCTTTTATTTTTCTTACTGTGACTATTTAGTTCAAACAATACATACTGTAATGCCGTGCCCTTTCGATTGGTTGACATAGAGGTATTTCCGCCCAAATCACAAATATGATCAAATATGCAAATATATTAGATACTTTGTATGTCGACCTAGATACTCGTGTATCTTACAAATTTGCATGAAGCTATACATCGTATATGTTTTCCGCGTCAAAATAGAACTTTCTACTTTTTGCATTGAAAATAAATCTTTTTATTTAGTGAACTTTTTCGGTAGGCGGGATATCGGACTACAAAGTCTTGTCTTGTGACAATAGGATTATATCATTGTTGGCCATTAAAGTCAGTGTCCTTATACGAAGTAATCCCCTTTTAATGGGTTTATACCATAAAGCATTTTATCTTTTCGAGATGCAAAGGGATATCAAACTTACTTCCTTATATACATCAGATATAAAATAAGGCAGAAATTATTTACCTCAAGATACATTTCCGAATCCGAGTCAACATATACATTATAATTTTATGAAATACGGTCTTAAGTTGGATGTGGTTATCAATAATTCATAAGGAATAATAACCTACATGTAGGTTCAACAGAAAGCTTTTAATTTCACATCATTATCTCGTCCTTCTAGATTTTTTGACAGGTTACATCTGCTACATATTCATGGAATTGATTTCCATATTACTGCCACTGTTTACTGCCTACTGTCACTACGACAGCCACTGCTTACTGCCTGTTGTCACTAGGACTGCCACTGCTTACTGCCTACTATCACTACCAGTTGCTGGCTGCCATTGCTTACTGCCTGCTGTCACTAGGACTGCCACTGCTTACTGCCTACTATCACTACCAGTTGCTGGCTGCCATTGCTTACTACCACTTCCACTTGTTGGTTGCCACTGCTTACTACTACTACCAGCTGACTGCCACTGCTTATTACTACTAACAGCTAACTGCCACTGTTTACTACTACTACAGCTGACTGCAACTGCTTACTTCTACTACCACAGCTGACTGCCACTGCTTACTATTACTACTAACAGCTGACTGTCACTGCTTACCACTACTACCAGCTGACCGTCACTGCTTACTACTACTACTACCAGCTGATTGCCACTGCTTACTACTACTACAGCTGACTGTCACTGCTTACTACTACTACCAGCTGACTGCCACTGCTTACTACTACTACCAGCTGACTGTCACTGCTTACTACTACTACTAACAGCTGACTGTCACTGCTTACTACTACTAACAGCTGTCTGTCACTGCTTACTACTACTAACAGCTGACTGTCACTGCTTACTATTACTAACAGCTGACTGCCTCTGTCTAGTGCCACTACCTTTACCAGCTACTGACTGCCACCACCATATGCTGACTGTCTTTAGTTTACCGCCGGTGAAAGCTGCTGACTGCCACTGCTTACTACCACTGCCTACTGTTAACTGCTAATGAATATTACTGTCGACTGCTGGCTGTCTCTGCCAGCTGCTGACCGTCACTGTCTACTCCCCCTTTTTGACTGCCGCTGCTTACTACCACTGCCTACTGTCACTATCAGATGCTTACTGCCACTGCTTGCTACCATCAAATGCTGACTCTATCAGCTTCTGACCACAAGCCACTGCCTTTGCTGAATGTCATCGCCAACTCAAGAATTCCTCTGCTTATAATTACCAGCAAAAGATTTTTTAAGGATACATGTATTTATTCTTATAATTTGAATGGTAACAGCTTTTCATAGGAATACAAGTAGGCGCATCCCCCTATTTAATTGGGATTCTTCTATGTAGGCTGTGATTTAATTTGATTTTACTCACTCCCTTTCCTACCCTTGTCCTAAATGAACACTTCAAAACTGGGTTTACATACACCAGTTTGCATCAGTATATGTTACAAGTCAGGATTTGTATAAGGTCATTTGGTAAGATATACATGTGTATTACTTAGATTTTTTTAAAAAGAGTATGCTAATTTATACTGAGAAAAGTAAACACGGAAAATTTATTTAAAAATCATATATATGACATAGATAAAATCTGACAGACAGTGTCTAAATATCCCAGGAATTTATCAATTCATCTGCGTTTATATTTTAAAATATTAGAAGGAAGGAATATATAATTATAATTTCTTATTCAATATTCTATCTTCTGGTTGATATATATATATATATATATATATATATATATATATATATATATATATATATATATATATATATATATATATATATATATATATATATATATATATATATATATATATATATAAAGTAAAAAGAACATTCATAAATTAATTTTTAAATTAGGTGGTGTTACTTCCGTCAATCGGAGTACTTTAATACTTTATTTTCGACTCTGTATGTGACTAAATAATGACCTGTTGAGCTTTATACAACGAATTACAGGAATAATTGCTTTCTCATACAAAGGTTGGGAAAATAAGCTCCTCAACACAAATAGATGGCAAAGGGGCGAATGTTTATCTATCGTTAAGGAGACTCTTTGGACTGTGACAAGTTTATTTCATATAAAAGTTTTCAACATTGGGTGCATGTGTAATATTTCCCCAGTGAAAAATGATCAATTGCAAAATATTACAAGTGAATAGAAACCATAATTTTTTCGTTACATTGGGAAAATACAAGCAAATAATTTATTCAGTTACTTTAACTTGGTGTGATATAATGTGAAGAATAATTCATTATTGTATCATACACTGTAAATTAACCTTACATCTAAGAGCAGATCACTCTCACTGCATACATGTAAATATTTGAAAGATAATTTCACTTTAATAGGTGTGTGTTTGAAAGCCTAGAAGGGTTAAATTAGGAAAATGAAAAAAATAATAAAAGTCGTGATAACGACTTTTATTTTTTTCATTTTCCTAATTTAACCTTTCTATGCTTTCGTAGAAGGGGGTATGAAAATGTATTATATTACAAAAAATCTTTTGTACTTTTTGACTTCCAACCGAAAAACTAAGATTTTTTATAAGCAACTGGCACTCTTCAACAATTATGAAAATCATTTTTCAGTTTTTTTCCAGGATTAAGACTACAGGGTTGAGTGTGAACGCAAACACAGATGTGGAGGGGTCATCTTTAAACATTACCTCAGTGTAGGATCTCGAAAAAAAAATAAGACTGGACTAGAGAATGCTCTTTCGTCTTGATGTATAGAGTTCTCCAAGACACACGGTAAAAATCAAGAACCCATGTACTTACATTTATCAGTTTTGAACTGGAACAGTATCAATCTAACAATCTGATATGACGAGGTTTAAAAGAAGAAGAGAGGGAGAAAGAGAGAGAATTCCAAATTCAAACAGGAACAAAATCAACGAGTCAAATTAAGTTTATCTTTTATAACAAGATATTTGTCTTAGCATTACATTGTAAATCTTGAACTGAAATGTAATACATGTACTAGTATTACATGCTTCTTCTTTTTTTTAACTCTAATGAATTTTTAAACTCTAGTCTCCCGCGTGGAGCAGTGGTTAGACCGTTGCTCTAGGGTCACGGAGCAAGGAGCTGATCCTTACGTCGCGGGTTCGAATCCACTGTGTGACGCTGAGAACGCGGTCCTTCGGATGAGACCGAGAGGTCCTTACTCGAAGTACGTGCTGGCACGAAAAAGATCCCTCATGCTCAAATCATCGTCGGAAACCCACGGGTGATCTCGTCTTTACTTATCACCCACGGGTGATAAGTATAAAGACGAGATCACCCGTGGGTTTCCGACGATGTGCTCAAATATATTTTTATCTATTGTTATTTAAATATTTTTAAGTGCCTGGTACAGGTCTTAAATTGCTGTCTTTTACTGGCAAGTGGTGGCGTCTCAATCTAAATCATATACGGTACCAATTTTGATTTCAAATATGAGTAAAATTTCTCGAAGGGACGACAAACAAACAAACCAACAAAATATCCATTTTAGGACATGTGATACAAATAAAAAAAGATATAATTTATAACTTATTTTTGTCTTTAATGATGCAAATATCAAGTTTTTTTTAAATATTAAGAAATTTTAAACTTTCTTTGATGTTCAAAATTCTATCTTTCTGCAATTACCCTTATAAATATATACAACCTTTTACCGCTTTATAGGACATCATAGTGAAACTTTGAATAAAAAAAAATTATGCGGTTGAACTTATTTATTTTATTTCTATAAACAGGAGTCTGCTTAAGGTGGTGTGATATGTCTAGTGTGTTGGTGTTAGTGTCTGTGTGTTTGTCACATCTATTACTGGCCAGAAGTAACGCGATAATTTAAGGAAACCAGATGTAACAGACTTCCTTTGCCATTAGCCTTTCCACAAGTCTTATGCGGTGCCTCTTCGTGGAGGGTACTACTATACAGCCCCAGGCTGACTTCGCAGGGGCACATGGGGAGATCATGCTTGGCCGGCAGCTCATCTAGGAGAGCAAACTCTGATCACAAACCAGGTTAGTAGGGATCGTTATTAACTGCTATGTTGGCGCCCAAAATATGAATTTGGAGTTGGACTTGAGACCAATCACCTCCTTCCATAAAAAAACCCCCAGATGATTTCGGAAACCCGTCATAACAAACAACAGAGAAGGCTAGCGCGACATGCAAGCTTAAGATTCCTGACGAAGATTATCTTCATTGGGAACCCGAGAATATGAAGGCAATCAGAAAAAGACGGAAGGACTCTAATGGCCTAGCTGAAAGGAACGCAGATGCCATTCATTACGACACCAAAGAACATCACCAAGACAGGATGTTTAAATGTTAGAACAATGTTTCAAGTTGGAAAAACAGGTAATGTCATAAGAAATTTCAACAGATATAAAATCGACAGAATGGAACTGCAAGATGGATAGGTGTTGGTGAACTAAAGACAACCTCTGGATCGAGAAACCATTGTGTACTCTGCAGCTAAGGAACATTATAGAGGAGTAAGGTTTATACTCAATAAGGCAAGTCATCTAAGCCTGATTGAGAGGAATATCTGCATGTCAATGACAGAATCATCAGAGCACACTTTTTCTCTCGTATACCTAAAATAACTCTCATACAAATATATATTCCAACAAATGAAACAGACGAAGCAGATAAAAACACCTTTTATGAACAACTACAGAGAGATTGTAATGTAAAATAGCCGAAACATGGCATAAAAATAGTTTTATGCCCCCGGATCGAAAGATCCCGGGGGTATATTGTTTTTGTCCTGTCTGTCTGTTTGTCTGTTTGTTTCTCTGTCTGTTGTCAACTTTAACCTTGCCCATAAATTTTGATTGGTTGGAGCTATGACTTTCATATTTCACTTGTGTATTCCTTGTGACAAGACCTTTCTTTGGGTACCATCATATTTGACGTTTTGACCTTGACCTTGGAGTTTGACCCACTTTTGCAAAATTTTATGAGACTTTAACCTTGGCCATACCTTCTGAACAGTTGGTGCTTGGGGTTTCAAACTTCACATGTGTATTCTTTGTGACAAGGCCTTCCTTTGGATACCAACAACTGTGACCTTTTGACCTTGACCTTGGAGTTTGACCTACTTTTGAAAAACTTTAAACTTGGCCATAACTTCTAAAATGGTTGGAGCTAGGGCTTTCATACTTCACATATGTAATCCTTGTGACAAGGCCTTTTTTTATACCAACCACTTTGACCTTTTGACCTTGACCTAGGAGTTTGACCTGCTTTTGAATAACTTTAATCTTGGCCATAACTTTTGAATGGTTGATGCTAGGGCTTTCATACTTCACATATGTAATCCTTGTGACATCACCTTCCTTTGGATACCAACCACTTTGACCCTTTGACCTTGCCATAGGAGTTTGACCTACTTTTAAAAAACTTTAACCTTGGTCATAACTTTTGAATGGTTGGTGCTAGGGCTTTCATACTTCACATATGTAACCTTTGTGACAAGACCTTCATTTGGATACCAACAACTTTTACCTTGGCCTTGACGTTTTACTTACTTTTAAAAAACTTTAACCTTCGCCATAACTTTTGAACAGTTGCAGCTAGTGCTTTCAAATTTCACAGGTATATTCCTGGAGACAAGACCTTTCTTTGGGTACCAACATTTTTTATCTTTTGGCCTGAATTTTGACTTGCATTTGAGAAACTTTAACCTTCGCCATAAGCTGCCATATGGGGGCATCAGTGTTTCACAAACACATCTTGTTTTTTTTTTTTTTTTTGTTTTTTTTTTTTTTGTTTTTTTTGTTTTTTTTTTTGTTTATTAACGTCCCTCTGGAGAATTTTTCATTCATATGGAGACGCCACCATGTGCCGATGGAAAGCTACAAATTTTGACCTATATTCGGCACTTAGGGCCATTGAGCAGTGAGGGATCTTTTTCGTGCCAGCACCTACTGCGACACGGGACCTCAGTTTATACGGTCTCATCCGAAGGACCGGTCTCCACGTCCCACAGTTGGATTCGAACCCGCACCGTAAGGATCAACTCCTTACTCCGCGACTCTAGAGCGAACGTTCTAACCACTGCGCCACGCGGGCGACCATAAAAATAGTAATGGATGGGCGATACAAATGTATTAGTTGTGATGTCAAATGAAGGCTGAGAAAGAGTCATGGGACGAGAGTGAATAGGCACCAGGAATGAAAACATGAGTGGGTTAGCAGGACTGTATGCCTTGGTCATCTGTGAAACTCTCTGTAGCTACCTTGACATACACAAACTGACATGAGAATCTCCTAATGGAAGAGATAGGAACCAAATTGATCATGTAATGGTGAATGGCAGATATATAGGAAATATGTATGCGATGTAAGGGTTATGCGTGGTGCAGATTCCAATTCAGATCACCATTTAAAGTAAAGCTGAAGATCTGCAGAAATACAAAACCAAGAGTATTAGTATATGACAGGAAGATGTATGATGTCAGCAGCCTGGAAAGATTTACCTCTTACTAACGCATGCGTAGAGTTGTCACAAGGACGAATCTATAATATGACTGGGTTTAGTAATGGATTTTTATTCAAACAATCTTCGCCCCTCTAAAGAAAATTTATTTGATCTACTTCTAAGGGCACAAACATTTTATTCTGAAATGGGTGCTGGCAAATAAAAAATAATATGGGAATAAAGGAAAGCACTGTTGGGGTGGGGGTGAGTCTAATCTGACATGCAGTGGGAGACAACCTTTGTGTCGGATTTACCATGTTTACAATGTGTCGGTTTTTGTTTACACAGTGTAAAAAACATGGAAAATAGTGAAATGGGAATGAAAATGGACGTCGCAATTTACAGTGAAACGGAAACGGACTGCACATGTGTCGGATAAGACAGATTTCATTGTAGTAGCTCCAGACAAGGACAGATTATCTATTTTCTTGCCACTTGAGAACAGATTATATATTTTCAACATTTTCGAAGGTAGGTTATTTATTTCCGAAATCTTCCAACCCCCCAACCCCCCCATTTCGGAATCAAATGCGCCCCATTTATCAGTCTAATTAAAATCAGACTTCTTAGACTCTATCCGCAAGGTATTCACTCTGCGTAAGAGTGTATACGGAGCGGATCTAAGAAGTCTGATTTTGCCCGTCTATTTGGTTTATCTGTCGTTGCCAGTATCGTCTTTTGAGAATAACCGATACACACATTGCAGATGGTCAATGTACAGTGTATTGAGACGCGGTTCTTCGCATCTCGTCCAAGTCCAATCTTGAATCACGTATACAATATTTTCAAACATGCCTAATCCTAGATGAGCAATGTTTTATACAACGCCCATCGAAGTTATTATTAGATCTTTAAAACTCTTCATCATAAGGCTTGGCGCGATATTATTTCAAGCGTTTTTCAGACCATCAATAATGGAGTAGAAGGAAAATGTCTGCATTTCCATCACAAGAAAACAGACCTTTAAAGAAGCCCAGACTCGGGCCTCCTGATGTTTATCCTCAGGATACAAAACAAAAAGAGGTAGTTTAGTTGCAAAAGTTATCAATAAATAATGTAGGAGCCATAATACTCTATCTGTGGAATAGGAACACGGAGGGATTGAGATTGTCATTGTTTTATTTCAATTTTGAAAAATCCATGGAACTAATGCATGAGGGTTCTTGTTCTGTTTTATTTAAAATTTGATAACATGTGAAATCTAGAAGATTAAATCACTGATGATGTTAAAGTTTTTGGCAACGAGGTCAGGATAGAGTTTGTTTGTTTGTTTGTTTGTTTTTTTTTTTGGGGGGGGGGGGCTTAAAATACGAATTCATTGAATTGATGATCAAGTGTGACAGAATCTTCAAAGGAAATAAAATTACCCATGGGGCTATGGATCTTGTATCATCCTTAAAAAAATCGCTATTTTTTTTTAGAATTATTAATATGGGGCAAGGTCAGTTGTGTATCAGGTCTGGTACAATCACTAGTCGACTAGCTACATCGCTTGAATTAACTACCATAGCTTTATTTAGCTACTTGAAGTAGCTTTATTTACCTACATTAATAAAACTTTTTGCAATTTTGCTTTTTATTTAAATTAGACAAAAAAATCACAAGTATGTGACTACTAATATTTATACTAGGGAGTTTTAAAAAAGCAACCAAGAGCAAAGATAGTAAAACATTGCTGCTTTTGAACACTTTTAAGCAAAAGATATATTTCCATTGTTTGAGTAACTGTACACCACCTTGTGTGCGGTTTGGCATGGATAATTATGATCACTTCACATTGTTTTGAATTATCACCAATCAATCATCATGTTAATCAGAACTGGTCTTGTTTGTTATATCATTCAACAAGAAACTTAAAGATATAAAACTATTTATATCTTTAAGTTTATAACTTTATGTACAGACCTTATTGAATACCATTTGGTGTCCACATGTGAGAATCTTCCACAATTTCAACCTCAAGGTGTTGGTCACCAGTTTTTCTTTGTTTTGTACTCAACAAGTAACTGTTTGGTCACATATAGCCCCAAAACTTTTAAAACTGAGATTACTATTGTGCTGAAAAAGACACATCTTCAAGAGTGATTCTTTCATGATTGTTTTCAGATCAGTTCAAAGTTGAAAATTATCACTGCATCATAGTGCAATTTTCTGCACATCTTGTGTATCAGGTATCTTGAAAAAAAATGCTAATTTAAGATAAAAGTATGATTTAGTAGCTAAATAAAGCTACTTCAGGTAAGTAAATAAAGCTATGTAGGTAATTCAAGCTACATAGCTATATCTAGTTATTGTACCAGACCTGATGTATTACTGGATATTCACTTTTAACTAAGATCTTCAAACCGCATGAGACATTTGGAATGTCAAAACTGTGACATCACATGGCTTCATATGTTAGCTGCATTTCCATCACAAAATCTGAAAAGTACAATTTTTTAACAAAGCACTTTTAATCTACAGTCTATATAAGCGATATCCATTAAATCAAAGTTATTTTTTGGTGACCTTAATATTATTATTACCATGAGAATGAGTTGCACTAGCTATTATTATTATTATTTTATTTTTTTTTGTGAGAGGCACCAAAATGCCAGAGATAATAAATACATGTACTGAAATCATTGCTTTGAGATAATGTTTTCACAAAAACATGAAGTGGAGTACATGTAGTGGAAAGTAGACAGCACCATTAATTTAGCTTTTCTAGCTTTACTAGTGTAATTTTTGTTCTACCTTATACACATTGGCAAAATAATGACTGATTTAAGTTATGGGAGATCATAGTTTTAGTTGTCTAATTTATTCTCTGATTATGATATGACATCTGTTGTCCAGAAATTGAGATCCCAGAAGATGTCAATTCTTGGCATAGTTTCCTAGAGTGTTGATCATAGAAGACATTTTTTTTTTTTACTTTTTCAGGATGAGCTAACAGCCACAAGTGTAAAACATGGATTCAACAACAGTCCTCCTATTGGTTGGGATGAGGTCTGTAAAATAATATATGGTTTTAAAAACCTGATGGTAGAGACATTGACTTATTATACAAGTACGAGCATCAGAAAATTTATTCATAGGAAGGAACTCTTAATATCTTACATACATAGTATTTAAATACCTTTTGTGTGTACATGTACCTTGTGTGTGTCTGTCTGTGTGTTTAAATTGAAACATACAGAGGTTTAATACAGGATGCAATCTACAAAATACCAATTAATAATGAAATATTCACTTTTCTTTGTAGTATGGGTCAGCAAGAAGAGAAAACATCAGCCAGGAAAAGGTATCTACAGGGCTCCAGAGAATGTTGTAATAATCATGATAATATTTGACCCTGACTTGATGAATATATGTTGAAAGAATTGTGAAAATCTTTTTTGTATAATCATGATAATTGGAAAAAAGTTAATGTAGTTATTAAAGCTAAAATTTTGCTGAATGAATTTTTAGAGGAGATATTTAAATTAAATAAGGTGCAGGATAATTGAGGTACTGAATTTATTCATGATTAAGTTTTTATGAATATATGACCCATAAAAAATGTTTCTATTTTAGTTTGGCAAAGATTTTATATCAGTGCTCAACAAAAAGACTGAAATTAACACTTTTCAAGACACAACAAAAAAGAAACAAATGCCTACAAAGGATATTTTTTGGCCGGTAAGTTTTATTTACAAGTAGATCCCTCACTGTGGTTTTCTTGCTGCATAGTCATTTTTCTAGTTCAAACAATCTTTTATCACTATTTAAGGTAGAATATGCATTTTTATACTAAATTAGTAAATAGGTAGAAAAATTTGGTATTTCATCTCACCCATATTTCAAATCGATAATCAGTTATATCAATTGGATGAAGTAAGATGTGTGCTGATTAATTTTGCCTGCGACGTAAGGATCAGCTCCTTACTCTGCAACTCTTGAGCAGATACTCTAACTTCTGCGGCACACGGGTGACTTTAATATTTTGAAATATATTGTTAATTCCAAACATTTTCTGTAACAGGCAGCCAAAAATCAAAGTGCCATGAGAGCCTGGTTCAAAGATCTGGCCGGAAACAAGCCACTGTCCCTGTTAGGAAGAAAGGTTTGTTCTAAGGGTTCTGTTTCAAGCAAATCTAACTTAATTATTTTAGTTACAAATCTACCCCATCATCCCAGCCCCCAACCAGTGATTTGACTTTTTTTTTATGTTTACTGCTGTTTTAACTTTTTTTCACTGTATTTTTACTTTTTTGTTTACAGGTGCCCACATTTAACAAAAAGGAGGAGGTGTTTTCGACCCTGTGTGAGTTTTCAGTGCCGATGACAAAAGCTGCCTGGTTTATTAAGATGACGGCAGCATACAATGTGGCCGTCCAGGAGAAGATGAAGCAGCGCAGACAAATGGTGGACCAATCCATGGGTAAGGTCTTAAGGAACTATAGGTAATAGCTCTTTATTATAATATAAGTAAGGTAACTGGGAAAACAGGTAATAGCTTTTTATTATGTCACAGGTTTTAGGGAAATATAGGTAATAGCTCTTTATTATAATTCATGTATTTGTAAGGTTTTAGGGAAATAGACGTAATAGCTCTTTATTATAATTCATGTATTTGTAAGGTTTTAGGGAAATAGAGGTAATAGCTCTTTATTGTAATTCATGTATTTGTTAGGTTTTAGGGAAATATAAGTAATACATGTAGCTCTTTATTATAACATGAGTTAGGTCACTTGGAAAATAAGTAATAGCTCTTTATTATCATAAGGGTAAGGTCTTAGGGAAAAATAGATAATAGCTCTTTGTTATAATATGGGTAAGTTCTCAGATGTGTATACAGTACCAACCAGACCCAACCTGACACCTAAGCAGTCCCAGAAAGCAGTCCCCGGGACTGCTTTGGGACTGCTGTGGGACTGCTGTGGGACCGCTCTGGGACTGCTGTGGGACTGCTCTGGGACTGCTCTAGAAAGCAGACCCAGCAGTCCCAGCAGTCCCTGGGACTGCTTTCTGGGACTGCTTTGTTCACTCATGCATGAAAAAGGTTCTGAGTGACATGATAGCTCCGCCCCTTGTGTATTCTGAATTTGCAGGCTCCCTGTTGTTGTTTTGTTTACTTTCAGCAGAGAGGTGCTTAAGATAAAGAATTAAAAAAAAAAACAAGGATTTTTTACAACATTTTAATAAGTAGAGATAGATATACATGTAATTACTAAATTTCTTCAGGGGCTGTAAATTTACACAATTGTAGTCTAGAATTGATTTTAAAAAATGAAAGTAGTTAAAAGGGAAGTCAGGAGATGACTTTTATCCTTTGAATTAAACTTTAATACAGGTGTTTGAAAAAAAAAATATATCTAGGCCTATTTAATTAATTATTGCTAATTAATACTTTAATACAGGTGTTTGAAAAAAATATCGAGGCCTATTTAATTAATTAATGCTGTCAAGTTACGGAATGTACTCAAAGTTTGCATTAGCACTATTTAAAAACAAACAAAAAAACTTGTCATTACAATAAGACATTCAGAGGGAAGTACTGTACTGGATTTTTTTTTAAATTGAAAAAGCTAAAACCATATGCATGCTAAAAAAGAGCATTCCATGCTATTTTTTACCGCCCTCAAATAAAACCTAATAATTTATTAAATGACCATGAAATAAAATTATTCTACCATTCTTCAGTCATTTAAAAAATTATATTTGTGAACAATTATTGGGGGATTTATTTATGAATTTGTTTTTGATTTATAAACAAGTAATTAAAAGAATAAATTTATTAACATTTTAAAATATTGGGAATTGTGACTTATTTCATATTTGTTTTGTTTGTGTTTTCCTGGCCGATTAATAAAAAGCAATGCAAATGTATAAAATGGTGTCAACACCTGAAGTTTCAATCGCCTTCGGGCATGATTAGCAGAAAGTCAATGCATGTTATTTGGGTATCAGTGTTACACATCACTGAACATGCTGGTCAACAATGACACTAATTTCAATCTATGTACTGCAAAAAATCTTCGTTTCAATAAATGTGTATAAAATTATTTCGGGATTAATTAATTTTGAACATAATCTGAGGGTTCCATTCGCGTGATTTACAGATGTACTCTCAAACGTTTATGTAATAAAAGTATTATTGTTTTCTGTTACATAGATAATTTAACGATAATTAGATTGGCAAGTCAGTGGAAATAATCATGACTGAAATGTAATACAAAGAATTTTTCAAAAGCTCCAGTTCTTAAGAAAACTGCATTCAGAGTATAGTATGGAAATCGGCCTTGCTTTATAATTATAAGGCCTATTTAAAGCTAGTTTTGATAGAAAATAAATAACTCAAGCTTAATTATCTATAAAAAAAAAATTAAAAAAAAAAATAAATATGGAAACCAATATCAATCACAGTAATTTAGAAAATGATTTATTTTGGTGAAAAATTAATATACCACAAAACTGTGTTTAAAGATTCATGTTATTTATAGGTGTGAACGTCTTCTTCGTTCAATATTTATTATTTGTTTCTATACGCGTAGTGTGATTTTCTTAACAGTTAAAAAATGACTGTTGCATGAGAATTGATACTGCTCAGAAAGAAATGGATCATCAATTTCAACTGCCTTTTATAGTTACATTGTTTATTGGTAATCTCATTTCTGAGTAAGCTCCGCCCATTAAATTAATTAACCCCGCCCACTGGGACTGCTGGAACTGCTTTCTGGGACCGCTGGGACTGCTGGGACTGCTCTGGGACCGCTGTGGGACTGCTCTGGGACTGCTTTAGCAGTCCCAGAGCAGTCCCAGAAAGCAGTCCCCGGGACTGCTCTGGGACTGCTTTGTGTCAGGTTGGGTCTGGTTGGTACTGTATTGGTAAAGTCTCTGCAAAATGGTGAAAATGCAGAAAATTTTTATCCATTGTAAAATGGGTAAGAACAAGGTACGGTTTCAATACAAATTTTGCCCTGTGTTTTTCTTAAAAATGAAAGTAATGTAAAAAATTAAAACTCATGATTTCTGAATCATTGAAATTACACGCAGAAAGATCATACAAATCATTTTTCTCACGTGACCTTCTAAATGCTAATTGTGACGTCATAAACTTGTGCATTTTCCCGTATTTTCTTGAAAAGTTGCAGAAGACACCAATTTTCAATGGAATTTTCTCTCAGATGATATTGTCCACAGGCATCGCCCACAAAGATTTTGAAATATGTGATTTTTCAAAGAATTTTACACAACAAATCCGAAAATAAACGTGGGCGACGGCTGTGGACACTATTTTCTTAAGGAAAATAACCCTTGAAATGGGTCATTTTGAGGCTTTTTCTGTTTAAAATAGAGAAATGCATCAAATTAATGACGTCATATTTCCAGAATGGTACTCTTTCATGCTATATTCTTTCCTGATTTATCACTGTCATATACTCAACAAATGTTTAAGCCAGTTTCAAAACTTTTTGAAAGTATTAAATTTTCAGGGCACAATAAAGCTAAAACCGTACCTTCTTCTTTGTCATTGGCAATGTCTCAGTTTAAAAAAATCGAAAAATTGCTGCTGGTACCAACTTGCTAATAAATTGATTAATGATTCACCATGTGCCTAATAAATAAAGACAAAATTTGGTATTTTCAGAATGGTGCCAGGCCATCACTAAGTATCTGCGGGACCAGATACAGAAGATACAGGAACCACACAGTGGCCCCGGCTCCACAGCCGGTTTCCTAACAGTATCACAACCTGATCCCAACCAGGCACTTAGACAGTGGCACTACACCTGTAAGCTGGCTAGACATATGTATGATGTAAGTATTACTTCTTTAAGCTGGCCAGACATATGTATGATGTAAGTAATACTGTATAAGGGGAATTTTTAGCGAGACTCAAATTTAGCAATTTGTCCTTAATTATCTGTATTTTATTTTAGCGAGAAGTAATTTTAGCGATTTAATGACGCCTATAGAAAGACAATTGTGACCTCCAAAGCAGTATGAATTGTTAGCGATATTCAATTTTAGTGATCTCAACACCCTCGCTAAAAATGCCAAAATTGAATGCTCGCTAAAATTTCTACTTATACGGTACATCGTACAATTATCACCTGTAAGCTGTCACAATTTTTGATTTTCTGTTTTAAGGAGGGGCTTTTGGACAGATTCGAGTTCTTGAGCTGGTTAATTGACCTCATGGAGAAAATGAAACAAAATGAGGATACAGTCTTCAAGCTTTTGATGGCACAGATTTTACTGGTGAGTACCACTGATACTGTTTAATGGTTTGATTGATGGTGGGTTAAATTTGTTATGGTAGGAGTCTTGTACTTGTTTGGATGCAGTCATTTATTTTTTATGAAATACCAAAACTAGTGTCACAAAAGAACTTTGATATACTAGTAATATCAATAGTTCATTCATATCACAAAATGTTGTGACTTGATTATCAACATATTGACTCCATCACCACATTTTATCTTCAGTATTTTTTCTGCTTTACCAAGATCTTGTTTTAATTCCAAATTCACATACTGCCATCCACCACTCTATTAAGTGTCCATTTTAGTGGTCATTAGTGATTCAGATTAATTTTAGGCTAATTATTGATTCAAATTCATTTTTCTAATATTAAAAAATGCACTGAAGCAAAATATTTGTTAGTAAATTTATTTCATGCATAATATGCACAAAGTGTGATATAAATTTTTTTATTTATTGCTGAATTACTAAAAGAAGCGTTATAGTGAGATTTGAATGTAGCAAGTACATGTGTACATTTCATGTTTTCCTGAAATGGATACGAAATTTTTTTTTTAAGTTGATTATTGTCGTGTCTTTTTTTCAGTATATGGAGGAGATAGCGCTCTCTGTGATCTTGTCTAGAAGACTGTCCCATTTCTCAGCTAAAAAGATTGCTCAGTTGTGTAATGAAGCAGACTGTATGCCTCCTCGAACTGATTCTCCCATGTTGACCAATGGCACCACAGGGTAAATACATATTTTAACATGTATAATTTCTATTTTAACTAAGTGATAATCTAAAAATGTGTTTGCAGAAAAAAATATTTTCTCAGAATTGAGAGCAATTGTATGTTTGTAATTGACTGAATTGTTTATTTGTGCAGAATGACCAGTACTCAGATGATGTCCCAGAACCCCCTGTCTGCAGTGTTTGCTCTGTACAACAACTGTCCCCAGCACCGCGGTATCGTCCTCAGTCTGTGTGCTACTGTCCAGATCGTTACCCTCCTCTGTCCCACGGCGCTGGTCTGGAATAGCCTTGGGGATGGGAAGAGCTCTTCTTTCCTCTGTGGGTCACCACTTGACCTTCTACCGTGTGCCCCTTCTAGTCTACCTATGCCTCAGGGTCCTCAGAACATGCAGGTAATATGTACAAAGTATTCTTTCATGAATTGCATGAATTTAAACAATAAAATGCTTCTTTGTTTTTTAATGCGGTAATTAGTGGTTGCAGCTACAAGTACATAACCTGTGTAAGCGGGTTATGTAAAAAATTTTTCTGCAATGGTTGCAACCGTTAATTCCACATTTATCAAAGAAAGAAAGACATTTAATTAGCTCACCTCGACGAAGTCGAGATGAGCTTATGCTATACCCCCGGTGTTGGCATCGGCGTTAGCGTCGGCATCCCAGTTAAAGTTTTAGGAGCAGGTGAATTCCCAAGTAACTATAAGCCCTACCTGGACTAATCTTGCATGGGTGATGCATTTAGGGATGGACACTACCACACTTGTTTTGGATGCTGGATCTGACCTAGATTTTCCAAACGAGTGACCAGGTTAAAGTTTTTGGACCAGGTCTATTCCCAAGTAACTATAAGCCTTACCTGGACCAAACTTGCATGGATGATGCATCTAGGGATGGAAACTACCACACTTGCTTCGAATGCTGGATCTGACCTAGATTTTCCAGATGAGTGACCAGGTTAAAGTTTTTGGACCAGGTCTATTCCCAAGTAACTATAAGCCCTACCTGGACCAAACTTGCATGGATGATGCATCTAGGGATGGACACTACCACAATTGCTTTGGATGCTGGATCTGACCTAGATTTTCCAGATGAGTGACCAGGTTAAAGTTTTTGGACCAGGTCTATTCCCAAGTAACTATAAGCCCTACCTGGACCAAACTTGCATGGATGATGCATCTAGGGATGGACACTACCACACTTGCTTCGGATGCTGGATCTGACCTAGATTTTCCAGATGAGTGACCAGGTTATAGTTTTTGGAGCAGGTCCATTCCCAAGTAACTATAAGCCTTACCTGGACCAAACTTACATGGATGATGCATCTAGGGATGGACGCTTTGAGACTTGCTTTTGATTCTGAATCTGACCTAGATCTTCCAGATGAGTGACCAGGATAATTTTTTTGGCGTAGCTATATAATATCATGGCCTGTTATGATTAAACTTGCATAGATGGTGCATCTAAGGATGAAAACTTCCAGACTTGCTTTGGATGTTGGAACTGACCAAAATTTTCTTGATTAGTAAACAGGTTAAAAGTTTTTTGAGCAGGTCTCTGTGTGGATTACTTTCCAAGTAACTATAAGTCCTTCTTAAACCAAACTTGTATGGATTTTGATCTTGGGATGAACACTAACTAGAAAAAATATGATATGAGATTTGCCTTACTTATAGATAAAATTCGTCGAGGTGAGCTTTGTAATCTTTGATTACCTGTGTTTGTTTATATTTACATGTATGCCTGTATAAATAATTGTATAAAGTAGGTTTTAAGTACATAAAATATCTAGATCTGTACCTCGTATGTTTCACTGATTGAAAAGCATATTGCAATGACTGCATAAGAAATTTTTCATAAGGGTGGCCTTGAAAATCCGTTCCAACTAGTTAAGTGGCATTGATGAATGGGAGTGGTTTTCATAAGAAATAAAGGAGAATATATTAAGTGGATGTTAATATTTTTTAGTAAATGTTTTGGGGGGACTGCAAGTTAGATATGAAATATTAAGATAGATATTTGTTTGTTCCCTGTACACAGATTAGAGCACAGATTCGAATGTTAGAGGCCCAGATTAGACAGAGAGGGAGAGCTGCAGAACTTAGATGGTCCTCGGACAAATGTCAACAGTCTACCAAAGGTACTTACTGGAAATAATTAATAACTTACAATGTCAACAGTCTACAAAGGTACTTACAGGAAGTAATTAATAACTTACACAATGTCTGCAGTCAAACAAAGGTACTTACTGGAAGTAATTAATAACTTACACAATGTCAACAGTCTACCAAAAGGTACTTACTGGAAGTAATTAATAACTTACTCAATGCATCTATAATTTAAGCAGATGAAGTACATTTTCTTCCTCTTATTTATATTGTAGTAGAGTGTAAGGTGTTCTTTTGCTAAGCTATATTTTTCATTATCTACATGTATGAATTATGGTATTTTTTAAATTTTATTCAATTTTATTAGGTAACACTATAACCAGAGTGTTAGAAGTTCTAGATACCCTGGACAGACATAACTTTGACAAAGAGGATACAATGAATTCCCTGGACACCCTTTATCACAAGATCTTCACAGCTAACCAGGTCAAAGACAGCTCAGAGGTGAGTTATACAGGGGGGTACATAAAAGATAATCTTACAGGAAAATCTAGTTCATAGTTGCTGAAACAGGTAGATTATAGGCTTATGAATTAATTAGAAAAAGGAATGCACATAGAATTATATTCCTATTCATTGAAATATAGTTCATGGTTGTAGATTACAGACTCAGCCTTAGGAAGTCTATGAATTAATTATTATTAGTAGAAGGGATGTATTTTACTACAGTAATACACTGGCATACTTTATATCTTTTAGTTTAAAATCAGTTTGAGTAAGAAAAAATTTAGTGTATTGTATGAGAATGGAAGAAGCTTTTAATGCATTGTACAGGTGTAAGAGATAAAATCATTAACAGAAGGCCATTTGGCTCTCATTTAATGAAATGTTTGTTATATGCTTGCAAAGAGTTGTAATGCCCAGATTTGTGCAATGTTGATGATTAGAACATGTAGAAAAATAATATAAAGAGCAAAGTTACATGTAATGTAGAAAATGTCTGAATTATTGTCGGAGACAGGTATTTACAGACCTTTAATAATCAGTTGATTGCATTAATCTTAATTAATTTTAGGAGGATGAATTATTACCAAAAGTAGGTATTGAATTATAAAATCTTTGATTTGACATTGGACAGAATTGATATGAAATTCATTGCTGTGTAAAAGTGCATATGGCATGTGAGTAAAGGGAAAAAATCCTACCATTCAGCCATACACACACAAAGCAGATCCATGTCATAAAAAATAAAAAGAAATCTTTTGGAGGATACACACATAGCATGTGGAAACAATATTTAAACAATGCCAGTTGGATAACTGATATGTATGTCACAATGCATGATCAAGAAATGTCATTCTTGGTTGAAGTTTCATTAAAAAATGTTAATTATCACTTGATTTTTTTAAGTATGCAGTTGGTAATGCACTCTCTGAAATTTAAGAAATATAAGCCAGTTTGGCTAATTATAAAAGTGTGACCAAAACCATTTACAATTAAATAAAATGAATATTTTTACAAAATGATTTTATAAAGTTTTTCTGTCAAATGTAAAAGGAATAAAGTTTGTAATCTTGTTCAGTATAAGGAAAAAAAAGCTATTCTGAAAGTAATGTTGTTTGGTTTGCTGTGGGAACCAGTTTTGCTGTGGGGACCAGTTATGCTGTGAGACATGTTTAGTTCCCTTTAACAAATCCCAACTGTGTTTTTGTGGAACAACATTCCTGTAACGATATGAAGATATCTGTGTACATGTATCTGCTGGTTTTCCAGGAAATATAACAAGTGTATTTTCTAATTGTATCCTTTTATGTATTGCACATACTCAATAATTTCAGAATCTAAATGCAATTTTTTTTAAAGATCTTTATCAGTGAAATGAAAAATGAATAGCTTGTCTTATTGTTAGATGTACATGTATGTCCTTCCTTGGTATTTGTAAATCACTTAATGCTATCTCTCCAATTTCATTGTGTACCAACTGAGTTCTAATATTTATGTGATAACTATATTCCTGATGGTGCCACTGAACACAATAATATTGTTATAGCTTTCTTGAAGTACATCAAGTTTTCTTTCTTCAAAACCCATCCTTTCACAAATACACTCTATGTCATAAAAATCTACTCTTTTCACACATCCATTGTCTTTGAGTAATGTACAGTGGAAATACTAGATTTGCAGTGCTACATGTATGAGAACTTTTGGAAATCTTTCTTTTTAAGGTCACCAGTATTGAACCAATCACACAAGTACTTATAGTAATGTTTTATGTGATTGGTCACTTTTCCAGCCTTTCATCAGTGATGAACCAATCATACACTTGCTTATTGACTGGGCAGTTAGCATTAGAAGGAGTGGTATATACAGGGCTGTAGTGGTGGCCAAACTGCTGGAGAAGAGACAATTAGAAGTGAGGAGTGAGGTAGGCCTGTATTGATATACTGACCAATGACGGTATTCATTCATACATACAATGACGGTATTCATTCATACATCCAATGATGGTATTCATTCATACATCCAATGACAGTATTCATTCATACATCCAACGACATATTCATTCATACATCTAATGACATATTCATTCATACATCCAATGACAGTATTCATTCATACATCCAATGACAGTATTCATTCATACATCCAATGACATATTCATTCATGCATCCAGTGACATATTCATTCATGCATCCAATGACATATTCATTCATACATCCAATGACAGTATTCATTCATACATCTAATGACATATTCATTCATACATCCAATGACATATTCATTCATACATCTAATGACATATTCATTCATACATCCAATGACATATTCATTCATACATCCAATGATGGTATTCATTCATACATCCAATGACATATTCATTCATACATCCAATGACAGTATTCATTCATACATCCAATGACATATTCATTCATACATCTAATGACATATTCATTCATACATCCAATGACATATTCATTCATACATCTAATGACATATTCATTCATACATCCAATGATGGTATTCATTCATACATCCAATGACAGAATTCATTCATACATCCAATGACATATTCATTCATACATCCAATGACAGTATTCATTCATACATCTAATGACATATACATTCATACATCCAATGACATATTCATTCATACATCTAATGACATATTCATTCATACATCCAATGATGGTATTCATTCATACATCCAATGATGGTATACATTCATACATCCAATGACAGTATTCATTCATACATCCAATGACATATTCATTCATACATCCAATGACAGTATTCATTCATACATCCAATGACATATTCATTCATACGTCCAATGACATATTCATTCATACATCCAATGACATATTCATTCATACATCCAATGACATATTCATTCATACATCCAATGATGGTATTCATTCATACATCCAATGACATATTCATTCATACATACAATGACAGTATTCATTCATACATCCAATGACATATTCATTCATACATACAATGACATATTCATTCATACATCTAATGACATATTCATTCATACATCCAATGACATATTCATTCATACATCCAATGATGGTATTCATTCATACATCCAATGACATATTCATTCATACATACAATGACAGTATTCATTCATACATCCAATGACAGTATTTATCCACATCAAATTCATCTTGTAAAAATCAAAAGCACTTAAGAGTGGAGAAAAACCTTACTTCAAGACAATTTCACTATAAAAATTATTCAGTAAAATGACAAGAATCAAAACACATGTAAATAATTAATGCTTAGTGATAAAAGATCTGAAGATAAACTTGGTAAATGTACATTGTTTTCCGATTGTTTAGTTGAGATTACATATGTACAATTTACATTCATAAGTAAGTATAAGATTGATTTATTTGTAATTTGTAGCACAGGTTTGCAGATTGTGAATCATTTGACTACATTTTTAATTGTACTGCTGTAGCAGTGTTAAGTTTTGCTAAGACTTAATTTTCCAGAACTGTAACTCTATGGAAAGTAAGAATTTGTTTTTCCAGGACTATGACTCCATGGATTGCGATGGGGGATTAGGGGACGATGTTTTGGTGTCGTTCGAGACGCCTCTCTTTCAGGGGGTTCTCATGAGTTATCTCGATGATAAGGCGCCGGTCATAGGTGAGACTCGCACGGCGCTGTAGACAGAAGCTTTGGTTTGGCTTTTTTTATACTTTTATTTCCTACTATTTTTGCTTCAGAAATTCAGCGAGAGCCAGGCGTTGGATGATAAGGAGTCGGTAGGCTCCGATTCGCTTGTTCCGTCAGGAACACCGTACTTTCAGGCTATATTGATGTCTTATCTGGACGAACAAGCTCCGTCTTTGGGTGAGGTTTTGTTCTTCGCCCCAATGTGTCAATAGATATAATAGAAATCTTCATTCAGGAAATTGTTTCCCAGTTTTTAATTTTTTATCATTTAAGAAGGGAAGGTTGAAATATAATGTAGAGCAGAATTGTTACTGTGGGATAAGACAAAGGGGGGGGGGGGGGATTCCATTTTTAGGGAATAGGAAAGTGCAGACTTACAATGTAACTTGAAAACACACATTATTTAAAATTCAGCAGTTAACTGATATATTCCAACAAGATAGATTATATTTGAATGATCTTCGTTTGACAACATTAAACCATAAAAATGGAAAGTGACAAATTACCAGTATTTGAAAGTGGGATGGCTGCTTTTACTTTTTTAGCTCAAACTAATTTATTTTATTAATATCTGTCTATAATAATTACGTAATTTCTTGAAAAAGTTATTTTCTGTTTATTGCATCATACGTTTTTGGGTAGGGACAAAAAATATTTTGTCATGAAGAGTATTTTCTGCTCCCTTGACCAAATTCTGACAAGGAATGTGATTCTGGAAATTTCATTGAGAGCCATAAACAGCTTAAAAAAATGCTTATTTAGGTATTGTATTTCCCCCTCTTTTTCTGTCTTTGCTTTCAAATGTATTTGAAAATATATAAATCTATATAATTATTATTTCTTTCTTTTTTTTTAAGTTGCTTTGAGTAGTTTTATACATAAACAGAGCTTTGGATAGTTCCTGCACTAACACTTTTGCATATTGATAAAGATTTTAGTATATATTACATGAATAAAGGTCTATATATGTATATGATCTTTTGCTATGCTGTTAAATGATACTTTAGCATTAAACTACATGTAGATAGTATGCTCTTCTCCAGGAAAAATGTTGATGTTACATGTACTTACCGTATCGGTATTTTGTAATTTGACACAGCACAATAGCTTCAGGAATAAAGTTGTAATTCCGTATCAATCATGATGCTTTTCTTCTACCATTAGCTTAAAGATTTTTTCACCCATCTTAATTGAACTGTGATAAAATAAGTGAAAACTATTAAAAAGCTAGTAAGAATGTACCGTATTTTTGGCAGGGATTTTTTTTTGAAATTTTTAAAAATAAAGTCATGGAATCTAAGTAATAAGCATTAGTTTCTTTAAAGTGTTTATACTTTCTCTGTTTGTCAGATATATCAATGGATTGAGAGAACATGTATTAGATGATGATGTATGTTTTAGATGACAATCCCAATGAGAATGACCGTCAAGGCTTTGCCAATCTCATTCAGCTGTTCAGTGAACTGATCCGACATGACGTCTTTTCCCACGATGCCTACATGTGTTTTCTGATCTCGCGTGGTGACCTCATGTCGTCGCCGTCGGTGATGACCGTGACCACGGATTGTATTGATCTCTCCAGCATTAAGAGTCAGAATGAGAGTGTTAAACACGAGGTAAGAACCACCAAGAAATTTATTCTGAAACTGGGAAATATTGTTAAGGGTTTCAGTTTGTGGGTGTGTAATTTTGCCTAATTTTCTTTTAGCAGCTAATTGCAGATGTTTGAATTTTCACAAATATGAAATTGGTCTTCATTGTATATACAAAACCTTTTTTAATATGTAAATTATTTAATGTTGGAATTTTTGATTTTATGGAGAGCATGAATGTAGCAAAGATAAAAACAGCCAGAGTTATCTCCCCTTACACAGATTTTTTGGTAGAATTTTAATAGTGAGATGAAGAGGATATTTAATTTTCTGTATTTTTTCTTAACAGCCTCAGGATGACTTTAAGGTAGACATAATGGACATGCACACAGCTGTAGAGTTGAGTGATTTTGGAAGCTTGTTTGGGACTGGAAAAGATGAACAGAGAACTAGTCCAGAAGAACCAGGTTAGTGATGTTCAAGCAAGTGTTCGTATTTTCAGAATAAGATTTTGGTGCTTTTGACATGATTTTAGTGAATTAATTCTTGATCATTTAAAAAAAAAAAGATAAATGTACCAAATAGCCCATGAGCTACTTTTGTGCTATTAAAGGCCAGTATTTTTTAACATTAAAAATTAGAAAATCTCATCAACATAGGAAATAAGGAAAACTATAAAATGTTCAGCATTTTATGGATTAATTACCAAAAATGCATGTTAGTCCAACAAAAAAGTTTCTTAAAAAATCACTTGGCTTGGAATCTTTGGTGACCTTTGATAATCCTCTTTGTGATTGCACAAGGAGTTCTGAAAATTCCACACTTACTGTATACAATGATCACTGTACAACAATTTATGCCCTGTCCATGTAATGATATATTCATTATTCTTGATAGCTTCTGTAAAGTCTGTGATGTCAGAAAAAGAGCCTCATCATGCCAATCCTACCCTGCCAAACTCCGAGCAGCAGCAGAAAGGCCCATCTCGTCACATGTTGTATGCCCAGCATTTTCCAATCCCGTACGAGGACTCAATTCACGAGTGTAACCAACGAATGATTGTTCTCTATGGTGTGGGAAAAGCCCGAGATGATGCTAAACACATTGTAAAGAAAATCAGCAAGGAAGTTCTGAAGATGTTCAGTAAGAAGAACTGTGTAGACATCATCAGCGGGGAACTAGGTCGAGTGAAAAAACGGAAAGAGAAGGATGCCAACGACTCCTTGTCCAACGTCAGCATGAACTTTGAGAATGTTTTTGAAGGAATTTTTAACAAATTTCAGAAGTTGTCCTATCATGATCAACACTTTGTGACAGCCCAGTGTAGGAATGTTGTATTAGAGGAGATTAGTAATTTTACAGCAGGCAGTTCCTTCTACCTCCCCCTGGTAGAAAATGTCTCCTATCTGTTTGACTTGATGGAATACTCACTCAACATCTATGGCCTGCTAGACTTCTCTGTACAGGTACCAATATTTTGTGTAACAGCAAGTTAATGACTGATATTTAAAGTAGAAATTTGAAGAGAATAAAAATTCATAGAAAAATAGTACTTTTCAACAGATAATGAATGTAATATTTTATGAGGTGTCATAGAATGACTTCTATATGATAAATCAGTTAAAATGATATCTTGCAATATCAAATATGGTACTTAACACATGAATTAAGTATGAAAAAAAAATAACTGCTCTTTGCACTCATGGATGAATTAGCATGATTGATTTTGTGATTGACAGCTGTTGAAGGAGTTAAGTATCGTAGAGGAGACATTATTGGAGCAGAAGTCTAGTCTTGTTGGAAACTACACCACCTCCCTATGTTTATGTATTGTGGGTGTGTTCAGAAAATACCACGCCTACTTACTGGTGTCCCCAGATCTTACCATCACAGCCTTTGAGGGGTAAGCTAAATAAGAATAACTGATGTTCATGTGACAGGTAAAGTCAAGCTATAAGCCCAAGAACTCTGTGTTTCTAAGCAAAGGTCCTGATTTTTTCCTCATTACTGTAAATGAATTTTTTTCATTTCTGTTTAATAGGCTGTTTCAAGTTAGAAAGTGGGAATATTTTCTGATAAAGTCAAAAGTCTCGGAACAATAGCTGATACAGACATAGGATGTAAATGATGTATCTTTTTTTACAGATTGATCAGTGTAGTAAGAAAGATCTACAATCCTTCAGACTGTTCCTCATCGGAGAGGTGTATCCTGGCCTACCTCTATGATGCATACACTTCCTGTAATTATCTGAAGGTGAGATATATCCTGTCTATCTCAATGATGCTTACACTTCCTGTAATTATCTGAAGGTGAGATATTTCCGGCCTATCTCTATGATGCTTACACTTTCTGTAATTATCTGAAGGTGAGATATTTCCTGCCTATCTCTATGATGCTTACACTTTCTGTAATTATCTGAAGATGAGATATTTCCTGCCTATCTCTATGATGCTTACACTTCCTGTAATTATCTGAAGGTGAGATATTTCCGGCCTATCTCTATGATGCTTACACTTTCTGTAATTATCTGAAGGTGAGATATTTCCTGCCTATCTCTATGATGCTTACACTTTCTGTAATTATCTGAAGGTGAGATATTTCCTGCCTATCTCTATGATTTTTACACTTCCTGTAATTATCTGAAGGTGAGATATTTCTGGCCTATCTCTATGATGCTTACACTTGTAATTATCTGAAGGTGAGATACATCCTAGATTATCTCAGTGAGGCCTGTATGATATATCATAATTGATTCCTGCAAAAAGGTTGGAGTTGCCTCTCAATAAGTCTGTCAGGCTGGCTATGGCATTCATGAAATAACTTCACAATGGAGAAAGCTTTGAAGGTTAGACTAGACAAAAAGACTGCCTGTAATATTCTTCATCTCATTGTCCCAATTGTTTTTTAGCTCACCTGAGCCAAAGGCTCAAGTGAGCTTTTCTGATCAAAATTTGTCCGTTGTCTGTCGTCGTTGTTGTCGTTGGCGTTGTCGTTGGCATTGTTGTTGTTGTTGTAAACTTTTCACATTTTCATCTTCTTCTCAAGAACCACTGGGCCAAATTCAACCAAACTTGCCACAAAGCATCCTTGGGTAAAGGGGATTCAAGTTTGTTCAAATGAAGGGCCAAGCCCTCTTTCAAGGGGAGATAATTAGGAATTAGTGAAAAAATAATGGCATCATTTAAAAATCTTCTTCTCAAGAACCACTGGGCCAGGAAAGATGAAACTTATGTGGAAACATCCTCAGGTAGTGTAGATTCAAGTTTGTTCAAATCATGACCCCCGGGGGTAGGGTGGGGCCACAATAGGGGATCCATGTTTTACATAGAAATATATAGGAAAATATCTTTAAAAATCTTCTTCTTAAGAACAGTAAAGCCAAGATTGGTCATATTTATATGGAAACATCCTCAGGTAGTGTAGATTCAAGTTTGTTCAAATCATGACCCCCGGGGGTAGGGTGGGGCCAAAATGGGGGATCCAAGTTTTACATAGAAATATATAGGAAAATATCTTTAAAAATCTTCTTCTTAAGAACAGCCAAGCCAAGATTGGTCATATTTTTATGGAAGCATCCTCAGGTAATGCAGATTCAAGTTTGTTCAAATCATGACCCCCGGGGGAAGGGTGGGGCCACAATGGGGGATCCAAGTTTTACATAGAAATATATAGGAAAATATCTTTAAAAATCTTCTTCTTAAGAACAGTAAAGCCAAGATTGGTCATATTTATGTGGAAGCATCCTCAGGTAGTGTAGATTCAAATTTGTTCAAATCATGACCCCCGGGGGTAGGGTGGGGCCACAATGGGGGATCCAAGTTTTACATAGAAATATATAGAAAAAAACCTTTAAAAATCTTCTTCTTAAGAACAGCAAAGCCATGATTGGTCATATTTTTGTGGAAGCATCCTCAGGTAGTGTAGATTCAAGTTTGTTCAAATCATGACCCCCGGGGGTAGGGTGGGGCCACAATCGGGGATCCAAGTTTTACATAGATATATATAGGAAAATATCTTTAAAAATCTTCTTCTTAAGAACAGCAAAGCCAGGATTGGTCATATTTATGAGGAAGCATCCTCAGGTAGTGTAGATTGTAGTTTGTTCAAATCATGACCCCCGGGGGTAGGGTGGGGCCACAATGGGGGATCCAAGTTTTACATAGAAATATATAGGAAAATATCTCTAAAAATCTTCTTCTTAAAAACAGTAAAGCCATGATTGGTCATATTTATATGGAAGCATCCTCAGGTAGTGAAGATTCAAATTTGTTCAAATCATGACCCCCGGGGGTAGGGTGGGGCCAAAATGGGGGATCAAAGTTTTACATAGAAATATATAGGAAAATATCTCTAAAAACAGTAAAGCCATGATTGGTCATATTTATATGGAAGCATCCTCAGGTAGTGAAGATTCAAATTTGTTCAAATAATAACCCCCGGGGGTAGGGTGGGGCCACAATGGGGGATCCAAGTTTTACATAGAAATATATAGGAAAATATCTCTAAAAATCTTCTTCTTAAAAACAGTAAAGCCATGATTGGTCATATTTATATGGAAGCATCCTCAGGTAGTGAAGATTCAAATTTGTTCAAATCATGACCCCCAGGGGTAGGGTGGGGCCAAAATGGGGGATCAAAGTTTTACATAGAAATATATAGGAAAATATCTCTAAAAACAGTAAAGCCATGATTGGTCATATTTATATGGAAGCATCCTCAGGTAGTGAAGATTCAAATTTGTTCAAATAATAACCCCCGGGGGTAGGGTGGGGCCAAAATGGGGGATCAAAGTTTTACATAGAAATATATAGGAAAATATCTTTAAAAATCTTCTTCTTAAGAACAGTAAAGCCATGATTGGTCATATTTTTATGGAAGCATCCTCACATAGTGTAGATTCAAGTTTGTTCAAATCATGACCCCCGGGGGAAGGGTGGGGCCACAATGGGGGATCAAAGTTTACAGAGGAATATATAGGAAAAAGTCTTTTTTCAAGAACAGAAAAGCCATGATTAGTCAAATTGATATGGAGGCATCTTTTGGTAGTGTAGAATGAAATTTGTTCAAATGAGGGCCCCCGGGGGTAGGGTGGGGCCACAATGGGGGATCAAATTTTTACAAATGAATATATGGGAAAAAAATCTGCTGCTCAAGAACAACAAAGCCATTTGTTATATTGATATGAAAGCATCATCAGGTAGTTTAAAATTCAACACCCCCCTCCCTGTAAACTTTTCAATACTGTACTGATTTTTGCTTTTTTTCCTAGCCAATGTGCTCAGGTGAGCGATGTGGCCCATGGGCCTCTTGTTTGCATTTCTTCCTTTGCTCCTGTGCATTATTACATGGATGAAGTTTTTGGAAAAAACATTTTCTCACTGAACTATGTTCTTATCTTTAAGAAGAAGCATTTTGACTAGATAGTGACTTAATATTGACTTATTCTGTGTGTTGTAGGACACATTTTGTGACTAGGTATTGACTTATACTGTGTGTTTAAGGACAAATTTTATGACATGTTCAGTGGTGATATTGACTTATTCTGTGTATTTTAAGACAAGCTTTGTAACATGTTCATTGACATATTTCCTATGTTGATGGTCAAGTTTTGTGACTTGTACTTTGACATGCATGTATTTTCAGTGTTGTAGGACAAGATTTGTGACTTGTTGATTGACATATTCTGTGTGTTGTAGGACAAGTTTTGTGACATGTTCAGCAATCCCTACAGGAAGATGAAGATGACGCTGTATGCCACCATTACTCCTTCAGCATCAAACAAACTCTGGAACCCGAGCTTCATGGTCAACTTCATGAACCAGCCCTACATCAAGTAAGCGTCATAAGTTTGTTCATATATGTTTCTTTGTGTTGAGTTTCACTGTTATCATACCCTTTTCATATCCTATTAATACTCATTCTAATACCTTTTTATTATGCCCCGCCATGAATATGGCCGGGGCATATAGTGTTTGTCATGTCCGTCTTCCGTGCTTCTGTCCTTCCGTCACACTTTGCGTTTAGCTCTGTTCAAAGCTCAGTTTCAAAGAAACTATCCAAGATATTTTTATCAAACTTCATATGCTGATAGATATTGATGAGAGCTATGCAACTGCATCAACATTTTTTGACCTTGACCTTTCCTTTGACCTTGACCTCACTTTTCTTGAATTAGTGTTTAGCTCAGTTTTAAAGATACCATTCAAGATAGTGTTATCAAACTTCATATGCTGATACATACTGATGAGAGCTATTTAACTGCATCAACATTTTTTGACCTTGACGTTTCTTTTGACCTTGACCTCGCTTTTCTTTAATTAGTGTTTAGCTCAGTTTTAAGATACCATTCAAGATAGTGTAATCAAACTTCATTTGTTGATACATACTGATGTAAGTTATTCAACTGCATCAACATTTTTTGATCTTGACCTTTCTTTTGACCTTGACCTCACTTTTCTTAAATTAGTGTTTAGCTCAGTTTTAATGAAACCATTCAAGATATTTTTAACAAACTTCATATGCTGATACATACTAATGAGAGCTATTCAACTGCATCAATATTTTTTACCTTGACCTTTCCTTTGACCTTGACCTCACTTTTCTCAAATAAGTTTTTAGCTCAGTTTTAAAGATACCATTCAAGATAGTGTTATCAAACTTCATATGCTGATACATACTGATGAGAGCTATTCAACTGCATCAACATTTTTTGACCTTGACCTTTCTTGTGACCTTGACCTCACTTTTCATAAATTAGTGTTTAGCTCAGTTTTAAGATACCATTCAAGATAGTGTAATCAAACTTCATATGTTGATACATACTGATGTAAGTTATTCAGCTGCATCAACATTTTTTGATCTTGACCTTTCTTTTGACCTTGACCTCACTTTTCTTAAATTAGTGTTTAGCTCAGTTTTAATGAAACCATTCAAGATATTTTTATCAAACTTCATATGCTGATACATACTGATGAGAGCTATTCAACTGCATCAATATTTTTTACCTTGACCTTTCCTTTGACCTTGACCTCACTTTTCTTAAATAAGTTTTTAGCTCAGTTTTAAAGATACCATTCAAGATAGTGTTATCAAACTTCATATGCTGATACATACTGATGAGAGCTATTCAACTGCATCAACATTTTTTTTACCTTGACCTTCCCTTTGACCTTGACCTCACTTTTTCTTAAATTAGTGTCAAACTTTATACGCTGATACATACTGATGAGAGCTATTCAACTGCATCAATATTTTTTGACTTTGACCTTTCCTTTGACCTTGACCTCACTTTTTTTTAATTAGTGTTTAGCTTAGTTTTATAAAACCATTCATAATATTTTTATCAAACTTCATGTGCTGATACATACCGATGTAACCTTTCAACTGCATAAACAATTTTTTTTTTTACCTTGACCTATCATTTGACCTTTTTACCTCACTTTTCTTAAATTTGTGTCAAACTTCATATGCTGAAACATACTAATTGTAAGCTATTCAACTGCATCAGTATTTTTTCACCTTGACCTTTCCTTTGATCTTGACCTCACTTTTCTCAATTTGTGTTAAAATGTTGCATAACTAATATACCCTCAGCGGGGCATTCATGTCCTATGGACATATTTCTAGTTTTGTAAGATTTGATCTGGAAACCTCAGAGTCACCTTTCTGCGGTGTTCTCATACATATGTACTCCAACATTGTAATAAATAGAGAACAATTGACTAATATTTGATATTACTTTTTAGGTCGCCTGAGTTTACTCAGGTGACCTATTGCTATCCGTTTTTTTCCGTCGGCATGCGTTGTGCATTAACATTTGAACATTTTCAGCTTCTTCTCTGAAACCGCTCAACCAATTTCAACCAAATTTGGCATATAGTGAATTCTTTGAAAATCTTCAACTAATTGCATAGTTATATGAAGAGGGTACCTCTTCCAGATTTGTAAATTTCATGACCCTGGGTCATGGGTTCTGGTGTTAGGGTAGGGCTGTGTTAAATAGTGAAAATGCTTGAATGCTTGAAAATCTTCTCTGCTCCTGGGCATATTGGAGGCAAACAGAGTAAAAGTTTTAATAAATTAGGGTATTTTTACCAGGATTTTAGACATCTGGACCATTTGGTCAAGTGTTCTGGTCCTGGCCAGGGCTCTATCAATTTGTATTCTACTGAGTGAAGTTATTCCCCTTTGCCATTCACCTTTGATAATTAATCACTGTAGATAATGTATTTGAAAGGTTAATAGAATAAGAGAATTATGCAAGAACATTAATTGTATAATACAAAAAATACTTTCATAGTTTTAATGATCAGGTAGACTTGGAATTAATAGATGAAAAAAAAAATGAAACAAAAATAAGATCTTTTTAGATGTTCTTCAATTAGACCAAGTGAGGCCAATGTGAGAGGTAATAATATGGGGTTAAAAATAGATATTTTGTTAAAAGTCTGCATGGTAATAACGATGAAAGGGGGAAAGATAGATAGATACTAGACCAGTTATTTTGTTGATCTTAATGATTCTCGTACTATTTTTCTTGCTTTTTGGACAACAAAGCTTCATTTATCAGTTTATGGATCCTCTAAATTGTTGTACTCAGGTGACCGTTAAGGCCCTTGGGCCTCTTGTTATATAATGTTTTCTCTTGTGTATTTTATACATCTATTTTCAAACAACATTCAAAGCATTTAATTGTATTGTGGATGTGTACTTTGATGAAATAGTGTACAAATATCCATTTTCTATCACCTGCATTCCTGACTCTAAAATGCTTTAGAAAGTAGTTTTACCATCACATTACAGTCTAAAAATGTCACTTTATATTAAACTGTGTTTTTGCATGAGTTCCTTGTAATCAGGATTTTGACATGTAGTGTGGGTCCCTTCAGGTTATGCCCCTTCAGGTTATACACCCTGACTATGAATTCAGCTTTGTATGTGTAAAACTTCAATATTATATGTACTGTAATTATTGTTTTACTGTGATTTGTAGAATTCCATTAGATGACACTGTTGTCAATGACCTACGAGAGAATCCTGCCCACCGTTACAGCTTTGTGTGTAATGCCATGCTGCACATCTGTAATACACAGGAAACAGACAGGTCAATACTTCTATATGCTTTACATGTGTAGGAATTCTGGGATATTTAGGGTTGTCCCTAAGAATCAAAATAGCAGGGTCTTTAAAAAAAGTAGAAGGGGGTCTAGGGTTCCTCCCTACAGGGGTTTGAGGAGAATAACCTGTGATTTCATCATTGTAGGTGGGGAAATCCCCCCTCCCGTGTCTTAGGGACAACTCTGGATATTAAAGAAATGCACAGGCTATATTTGTATAACAAAATATGATGTAATGTACTGGTACTCAGTGGCTCTTACCTCTTTGTGTGGAATTTCTGCTACAGTATAAAGAGACAGTATTTGTTATACAAATTATTTTATACTGTAGTCTGTACACAGTGTTGCTGACTTATATTATAAGTTAGGGTGCTTGTAAAAATTGTCATAGATTTCCTAAAATTTTAAAGACAAAACATAATCAGCTTGCAGATAATATTTTTAGGCCTGAAATTGTACTCGGTGTTGATCTTGAGATTAGCATAAGTCCATAGTTAAGAGATAAGAATCTTAAGTTACTGGACCTGTGACTTATCCTTTTGATTTTTGTCAGTAAGATATATTAACACATGTAATTTCCCTTTTAAATAAAACACAAAAATTTATGAGGACTGTGTTAAGAAATTCAATTTTCTCTGGACATTCAATTTAGTATTCAGCGGAGAAACAAGTGATATTGCTCAAAGAAGGGATTAAAGTACAGGCATATATTCAAATGTGAAATGGCTATACTTGACTTTTCAAGTACTCACTGACATCCCTCATATAAACATGTGTATATCCTGTACCTTAAGGAAATTCTTAAAACTCTGATGAGGTAAGATTGAGAAATAATTAGATATTTTGTTCCATTGTATTTCCAGGCTGAATGAGCTTTCTATTCTGTGTGCTGAATTGACAGCAAGATGTAATGCCTTAAGTTCTGAGTGGCTGGGGGTTCTACAGGCTCTCTGTTTCTCGTGTGCCACTAGCTGTGGATTTATAGATATCCTCACACAAATTGATGTAAGTTGATGAACATATCCTCACACAAATTGATGTAAGTTGATGAACATATCCTCACACAAATTGATGAAAGTTGAACATATCCTCACACAAATCGATGTATTAATTAAATCTATGTACATCTACTGTATACCAGTTTACTTTTTTACACACCTGATAAGCCCACTGACTTTTTTGTAGTTATTTAAGAATAAACTTGATTATTGCTAGATTTGAATTTTAAAAATCATAATTATGTTAGGGATAAAAAGCACAATGAAACAAAATGAAGATTGGAAAAATATAATCCTTGCTATATGCAAAAATTCTCATGGAAACAATTTTCTAAGCAGAGTAAATGTTTGATTTTCAGGTGAGTGACATGTCAATTCATGATTCTCTGGCTGTCTTCACTGCCATCCTTATAGCTCGTCATTGTTTCTCATTACAAGATCTAGTCGTTCATGTTGTTCTACCTTCATTATTGTCTGCCAGACCAACAGGTAGGTATAAAAGGAATCTTAAACAAAAATGGAAATTATGTCAATCCACCTATTATTAAAAGTTGATTTTCAATTTGAATCTTAATTTTGATGTGTAACAATTGAGTTTTACAATTGGACATGCACACAAATTCTTTAGAGAAATTTATAAACTTAAGACTTGTATTAATGTTAATTTCACAGCCTCAGGAGACCAGGATGCAGAGAATGGAGCCAGACTGACCTGTCACATCCTGCTGCGGTTGTTTAAGACATCCGATATGACCTTAACCTCACCTGGTCTAAGACCAGGGAGTAAGACCCTGTGTAACATCAAGAGGTCATGTGACAAGCACCTGCTGGCTGCTGCTCATGACAGTATTACTGTGGGTCCTGTGCTGGCTGTCCTCAAGGCTATGCTGGTCCTCAGTAAGTACAAATCTAATTAATATTGTTTTCATACTTGGATTGCACTTTGTCTTAAGCGTATGCAGTGCACATACATGTAAATCTATTGAAGGTGACCTGTGTAGTGATGAAATGAGGACAAAGTCTGGGTCCAGCAGTAAAAAGGAGGACAAGGATGACATATTTCACTCACTCCTCAGTAGTATTGAGGATGAAGAAGACATGGACATGATTATGGGGTAAGACAGTCAGTTGTACATACATGTATTTTACTCCTCAATAGTGTTGAGGACATGGGCATAATTATAGGGTAAGGCAGACAGTTCTACACTTTTCACTCACTTCTCAGTTGTATTGAGGACATGAACATGATTATGTAGTAAGGCAGTCAATTGTACATATTTTACTCACTCCTCATTAGTGTTGAGGACACAGATATGATTATGGGCTAAGGGGGTCAGTTGTACATATTTCACTCACTCCTCAGTAGTGTTGAGGACACAGGCATAAATATGGAGTGAGGTGGTCATTTGTACACATTTCACTCACTCTTCAGTAGTGTTGAGGACATGGACATGATCATAGGGTAAGGGGGTCAGTCGAACACTTTTCACTCACTTCTCAGTAGTAATGAGGACATGGAAATAATTATGGAGTAAGACAGACAGTTGTACATATTTCAGTCATTAGTAGTGTTGAGGACATGGGCATAATTATGGATTAAGGGAGTCAGTTGTACACGTTTCACTCACTCCTCTGTCATATTGAGGACATGGACTTGATTATGGGATAAGGCAGTCAGTTGTACATACATGTATTTCACTCACTCCTCAGTAGTATTGAGGATGAGGAAGACATGAACATGATTATGGGGTAAGGCAGTCAGTTGTACACGTTTCACTCACTCCTCAGTTGTATTGAGGACGTGGACATGATTATGGGGTAAGGCAGTCAATTGTATATATATTTCACTCAGTTTGAGAGATAAAATCAATTGACTGCATTTCAAACTCATGTAGTTGTTATATATTGCAGGCCATCAAAGAGGAAGCATGGTATGGAAAGTGCTGGCCTGAGTGACTTTGCCCGGCATGCTCTGAAAGAAATGTGTAAACAAGACTGGGTACAGGAGAAATTCCTCAAGGACCCTGAGGGGGTGCAGAGCTCTGACCTCCTTCTGGACAACATGTTATCCAACAAACAGGTTAGTGGAAAAAAATATGATGTACACAGTAACTAGTTACACTTAAATGTAATAAGGGCCCCATTCTGGAGATAACCAGTTAGTGTTTATGAAAAAAGAAGGTACATGTAACATGACTCGTACTTGACCAGATGTCTTCTGGTCACAGAAATTCATTTTATTAAGATGCATGTACATGCATTTGCTATCCTACCGTACAGTGTACCAGTAATAAATATTAAAGTTACAAAAATTACAGCTACACAAGTTACTAGAAGTTATAAAACACTGAAGTATATATAGTAATTTTTTTCAGTTCTATAATACATACATGTATTTTAGAAAGTGACAAAAAATCATTTACATCTACATACTGGAATAGTATTTACAAAAAATCTTTTTAAAAGTATACTTATACATGTGGATAGAAAATTGAGAAATGAGTCTTGAAATCTCCGGAAAATAAGGTTTGAAAAGTTTACCTAAAACATGAAAACCTGGTCAGATCCTGAATATTTTTGTATATATAGGCTCAGCAGCTGCTCCAGATGATCTGTTATCCTAATGGGGTTCCCAATCAAGTGGACGGTAGTGAACCCGATGTCAAACAGATTATACAGCGTGTTCTACAGACCCTGGATATGTGGGGACTTCGTGTTTCTCTTCTGGAGCTACAGCTACTCTTCAAACAGGCAACCACACAGTCAGTAAGTAACTACCACATAGTCAGTAAGTAACTACCACAGTAAGTAACTACCACACAGTTAAGTAACTACAACACAGTCGGTAAATAACTACCTCACAGTTGGTAAATAACTACCTCACAGTCGGTAAAAAACTACCACACAGGCAGTAAATAACTACCACACAATCGGTAAGTAACTACCTCACAGTCAGTAACTACCATGTTAAGTAACTACAACACAGTCAGAAAGTAACTACCATACAGTCGGTAAGTACTATCACACAGTCGGTAAGTAACCACCACACAGTCGGTAAGGAACCACCACACAGTCTGTAAGTAACTACCACACAGTCGGTAAAGTAACTACCTCACAGTCAGTAAGTAACTACCATGGTAAGTAACTACCACATAGTCGGTAAGTAACTACCACACAGTCCTTAAGTAACTACCTCACAGTTGGTAAGTAACTACCACACAATCTGTAAGTAACTACCACAGTAAATAACTACCACACAGTTGGTAAGTAACTTCCATGGTAAGTAACTACCACACAGTTGGTAAGTAACTACCACAGTAAGTAACTACCACATAGTCAGTAAGTAACTACCACACAGTCAGTAAGGAAGCCAAACAACATTTGACTTATAAACGGAAGCCTTTGTGCCTTTCTACCACTCCAGTAAATGTTTCACCTAAGAAAAATACTATGTAATGCTCTGGTTACTATTATTAAAAGAGTTTTCAGAGAAACTGAAAGGTTAACAAGAATTTGTTCTTATTTGTTCAAATTTATGGTCCAAAATGTCAACAATTCATTCAAACACAATAATTTCATAAGGTTTAAATTTATTTATTTACTTTAGTTTTAATTAGTACAATACATGTACATGTATTAACAAAATGGCAATTTTTTTGCTAGGACACCAATGTACTGCTGGACAACATTGCCAAAGGAACTATTGAACTGTTCCATCGACAGACTGAAACAAACAGACATGCTGAAATGGATTCAAGTCAACAGAAGTAAGTCTCTGCAGAGATCTGTGTATAAAATGTCAGACAGCTGACTTGATCTGTGCTGCAGATTATGTTATCCTCATGTAAAAGTCATGTAAAGAAACCCTTTTTCTTCCAGACCTGACCCAGATGCTATCTGGTTGGTGGGTCCCTTGATCTCTAAGCTCCCGAGTCAAGTCCAGGGTCGAGTATTGAAGCTCTCGGGGAATGTCCTTGAGAGTGGGAACAACTTTCACTCCAAAGGTCGTGACAAGGAGAGGAGTCAGAGGAGGTAAGTGACGACGCCATCAACAGATTCATGTGTAACATTTCCCTGTAAATAATACTGTAAACCTTATGAATACAAGGTGTCTGGTGATGTCTGGTGTTTATATTTCAGTAAATCTCTCCTTAGTCACCAACCCTTCCTATGTTTGATACTGACCTGTCTGATGATGTCTGGTGTTTATATTTCAGTAAATCTCTCCTTAGTCACCAGCCCTTCCTATGTTTGATACTGACCTGTCTAATGATGTCTGGTGTTTATATTTCAGTAAATCTCTCCTTAGTCACCAGCCCTTCTTATGTTTGATACTGACCTGTCTGATGATACAGTGCGGACTCGTTATTACGATGTTCATTTTGTCACGGTAAAATATCGTAATAAAAGTTCCCAATAAAATCCATAAAACATCGTTTTGAAAGCTTGTTGTTGTATTAGGAGGTGTATTTTTCTCCTTTTGTTTCCTTCTTCTGTTCAAATTCTTCATTAAAACGCTATATACATATAATTTATTAATAACTTATCTTGAATAGATATCTTCATGATGCTATTTCTTCTATTTCCTTCATTTTAAAAGAAATGTGCACATTTTTTTTATAAAAACTTCGCCAATCTTCATTTATCTGCCGCCATTTCCTTTTACTTTTACTTTCTTTTCTGTCTAGATAATGCGTTCGTAAAATTTTCAATGTATTCGTATCGTTACTACATAAATAACAACAATACATCACTGGGCAGTTTTGGGTGTTCAATGAGCTTAGAGCTGCAGTGAACAACTGATGAAAATGGGGAGTGTGATAGGCATATTCCTGGACAGGATTTGAGAACTCACAAGCTAAATGTCAAAATAAATTTGAATTTTTAAATTACTGAACAGAGTTCAATTAGCAGTTCAGCAATTATCGATTTGTATTTCTGTTGACACCTGTGAGGTAGTCCAAGCCACTATCCAAGCTGTTAAAATGTTAGTGGAGTTCAAATTTTGCCAAAATTATGTTTGATACCCAAGCAGTCAATTCCCGCTGTTTAACTGCAAACGAAATTACACATTACGTATTTAACATACATGCATATGATTAAATGTAACCCTTTATTTAATTAATTAATTTTACTTATTAACCATAGTAAAAAAAAATAATAAAATAAACTTTACAGAGATAGATAAACTAGAGACTACATTTATTAATAAACAGTTTAATTGTTTAACAATGGCTTTGACACGTCTCCAATTCTGCTGACCTCGCTAGAACAGTCAAGGTGTGTGCAGTCAAGCGTCACTAATCACCTAACGGCCCTGCAAGTTAACACTCTGTCTGAGAACAGGTGTTTCAATGTTTATTTAGCGTCTCCTTAATTGTCTACAGTTGATCAACACTGAATAAACACGGGGTGAAAAAAAATTTTGGACAGAATTTTTACATCGTAATACCGAGTCCCGGCATTTTAGGACATCGTAATAAACAGTTCTATTTTGTATAGATTTGTTAAGAAATGGTTTTGTGCATTGAATTTACAACGTAATAAACGTTCTATCTTATAAAACCGTCACCGTAATAACGAGTCCGCACTGTATCTGGTGATACTGACCTGTCTGATGATGTCTGGTGTTTGTTTTTCAGTAAATCTCTCCTTAGTCACCAACCTTTCCTATGTTTGATACTGACCTGTCTGATGATGTCTGGTGTTTATATTTCAGTAAATCTCTCCTTAGTCACCAGCCCTTCCTATGTTTGATACTGACCTGTCTGATGATGTCTGGTGTTTATATTTCAGTAAATCTCTCCTTAGTCACCAGCCCTTCCTATGTTTAATTACTGACCTGTCTAATGATGTCTGGTGATACTGACCTGTCTGATGATGTCTGGTGTTTGTTTTTCAGTAAATCTCTCCTTAGTCACCAACCCTTCCTATGTTTGATACTGACCTGTCTGAAGGGCCAGGATGAACAGAGAGAGGTCTTGTTAAACTCCCTACTGTCTCAGCTTGAGAGGTTTATCAATAACTGCAAGGAGGCTCTTGTGAGTAATTCATCATTTACAAATAGTACTCAGAAATGGATCAAAGACAATGTTGGGGGGGGGGGGGAGGGGGGGTAAAAATTTCTGAAGTAACATTGGTTATAAAGATATTTATGTACATGTCTTGCACATTATGAATTTTGATTTTGTTCTTGTAGGATAAAACACCTGATGAATTCAAAGTTCGAGCAAATATTCATGAAGCTTTGCTGCTTAAGTTGTCTCTTGTAAGTATGTGCTTAAAAAAAATCATCATTTGATTTAGTGCAGAGATATTAATTCAAACATTTGTGAGCATTTGATGCCTTACCATTGTTACCATGTTAATTGACTTACAGGTTGGTGGGATGTTTGACACAATACAAAGAAATATGTCTAACACCACAGACTGGGCACAGCTACTGCTTCAGCTCGTCACTAGTGGAATAGTGGAATCTCAGTCCAACAGGTATGATACAAGTCTAACAGGTGTGACACAAAGTCTAACAGGTGTGACACAAAGTCTAACAGGTGTAACACAAAGTCTAACAGGTGTGACACAAAGTCTAACAGGTGTGACACTAAGTCTAACAGGTACAACACAAAGTCTAACAGGTGTGACACAAAATCTAACAGGTGTGACACAAAGTTTAACAGGCACTACGCAAAGTCTAACAGGTGTGACACAAAGTCTAACAGGTGTGACACAAAGTCTAACAGGTGTGACACAAAGTCTAACAGGTGTGACACAAAGTCTATCAGGTACAGCACAAAGTCTAACAGGTACAATACAAAGTCTAACAGGTGTGACACAAAGTCTATCAGGTGTGACACAAAGTCTATCAGGTTCAGCACAAAGTCTAACAGGTACAATACAAAGTCTAACAGGTACAACACAAAGTCTAACAGGTATCACACAAAGTCTAACATGTGTGACACAAAGTCTAACAGGTGTGACACAAAGTCTAACAGGTGTGACACAAAGTCTAACAGGCACTACGCAAAGTCTAACAGGTGTGACACAAAGTCTAACAGGTGTGACACAAAGTCTAACAGGTTGACACAAAGTCTAACAGGTGTGACACAAAGTCTAACAGGTGTGACACAAAGTCTAACAGGTGTGACACAAAGTCTAACAGGTGTGACACAAAGTCTAACAGGTACAACACAAAGTCTAACAGGTGTGACACAAAGTCTAACAGGTGTGACACAAAGTCTAACAGGTGTGACACAAAGTCTAACAGGTGTGACACAAAGTCTAACAGGCACTACGCAAAGTCTAACAGGTGTGACACAAAGTCTAACAGGTGTGACACAAAGTCTAACAGGTACAACACAAAGTCTAACAGGTGTGACACAAAGTCTAACAGGTAGGATACAAGTCAGATAATGTAGACAAGATAGAATATGCACTGTACACCTGTCTGTGAGAGTATAGAAAGATGTAATAGATACTCATACATGTGATATGTACTGGCGGTACACAAAATGTACAGTTTTTTCGAGCCCATTCATCGTGTACCGGCGGGACACCAAAATTCACGGAATATGAAAATTTGTACAGTATTTTGAATTTCTCGCTAAATGCCGCCATTTTCTTCTCATTATCTCTCGCGAGACACTGGAAAACGCCACCTGTGTTTCACACTTGACCTTTTGATAATTGTGTAGTGTACACAAACCATCGCGTGTGAAGGTGTGAACTGCCAATTGGGATAATTATCTTGCTATAAATCCATATCAAGATACCCCTTTAGGTAGCTTTATTTTTAAAGGGTACTTAATTATAATTGTTAATGTTTCGTAACTTGATTGAAAAAAAATTAAGCCAACTTCTAAAGTTGATATACATGACTTAATATACATGAATCTGACCCAGATCTCCGTAGGTATAAAATGTACGATGTTTATCACCATGATTACGCTGAAATAAAGGATATAGTTTTTTAAGTTTTTATGTGCTGAAATTTATGTATGATTGTATTTGCTGCTGTTATTTAGCATTGCTGATGTATATATCAGTAATATGAACAAGATGTAAATTGGAGACATTGACTCTCATGTTAATACTGTATAAAGCTGGCAAACAAACTATCATCTAAATTAGCTTAATTTATAGTCGATTCATTGATTATAAAACACAATATATGAAATTTTAAAGCATTCAAATCTCCATTACAACTTTTAGAATAAGACATTTGCAACAATATATATTTGTTGGTTTAGAAATAAGGTGCCTTATCAGAAGAATTTAAGCGATATTTTATAACATTTTTTGATAGGCAGTATACAGTTTTTTTTCACCCAAATTCCAGTTTTTTTATGGCTCCTGTACAGTTTTGTGGTCTGTGACTTATCACATGTATGGATACTGTACACCTGTCTTTGAGAATATTATTTAATGAGATGAACAAGTTTAAATTTGTGTGAGGAACAGTACAGACTTGCATTGTAGCTTACACGTGTCTAGGATACTTACAATTTATTTACTCCTACATGTATAAAAAATTGTTTGTGATTCATATGTTTGTAATTAATGTTGAGTGGACAGACTTCTGCCACTAAATGACAGGTGCAGTAATGCAAATGTTTTGTCAATTTTGTCTTAATTTTAGTGAGCTGTTCACAGTTATTCTTGACATGTTATCTGTCTTGATACACGGAACACTTGTAACAGAGGGTTCAGACAGAGGTGAAGATATCAACAAGATGTATACAAACCTCATTAAAAAACTCAGGGTAAGAATTATGTACAAACCTCATCAAAAAACTCAGGTAAGAATTGCATATACACCTATCAAAAAACTCTGTAAATAACTCTCAACAAAAAACTTAGGGTCAAGGACCATATACAAACCTCATTAAAAAAAACTTAGGGTAAGGGACCATATACGAACACTTACAGTAAAATACTCTGCAGTGCATACCAGCTCCACACTGAAATTTTGAGACAAAATTTTATGATGTTGCTGGAAAAGCCCCCCCCCCCCCCCCCCAAAAGAAAAAAAAAACAATATAGAATTGTTCTCAGAAATAATTGTACAGTAAATAATGTGGAAACTTGTTAACATTAATGTAGGGAATGAAAAGCATAAAAAATGATGAAAACCAAAAAAGAAAAAAGATAAATCTTCCACAGAACTTTTGCATGATTTGTCTTTTTTGAAATTGTTTAAACAGAAAGAACTGGGAGATAAGCAATCTGACTCGATAGATAAAATCCGTCAGTTACTTCCCATACCAAAGAAGTTCTTTGAGGTGATCAGCTGTGAGGCACATGGAACTCAGATGGACAGTAAAGGGAATAAATACGACGGCTTTGGCAAAAAAGAGGTAAGTAACTTGTAACTGAGCTTCATTCCTGACTTTTCAACTCAATGTTTTCACTTCCATTGATGTCCTGATATAAATCTATGTTAATCGGATGATGATCAGGTTCAAACATACATGCAAAATTAATGTGGCTGGGAATTACATGTATTTATTGACAAAGTTGAGGATGATAAAGAATTTAAACAGGGTTGAGGGTTGAGTTTCGAGTACAATTTTGAATCTTTACAAAAATTACATTTTGTTGTGTGTTGGGACTGATTTAAGCAAATGTCAGACATGCCATCCTTATTTTGATTAGTCACACACTTTTAATATCCAGCCCTGATAGAAAACATCCTTTGGTAAAGGGAATTCAAGTTTGTTCATATGATATGTCTTCCCTGTTGAAAGGGTAGATAATCAAGAAAAGGCAATAGAAGGATAGGTTTATTTAAAGAAAAAATCACTGCAAGAACTTCTGGGCAAGAAAAGATGAAATTTATGTGAAAGATTTTTGACAGACTATAGATTTATTTTTTTCATATAATGGCCCTTAAGACTGCAGTTGTTGATCAAAGGTAAGTTTAATATGAGAATATATGGGAAAAAATCTTTTTATAAAGAACAGCAGAGCCATTATAAATGTAAGCATTCCTTAGGAGAGGTAATTTCAAGTCTCCTCAAATTGGGAATCAGAGTTTTAAATGGGAATATACAGTGAATTGTAAAATTCTTTTCAAGAATAGGAGGGCTATACTTAATAAATTCATCTTCAAACATTGCTAAGTGTAATTATGTGGATTGAAAGTAATGGCCCCCCAAGTAAAGTTGAATCCCTCTACAAGCCATTAGGTTGGTGCTTATACCTGGATTCTGTGATGTCAAGCAGATGAGAATCATTGACTCTTCCTGGATGGGACACAAATTCATTGCAGGTTGACTCCAAGCATAAGGGGGTACCCATTTTAGCTTGCTGGATTGAGACAATACAGATAAAGTGCTTTATCTAAAGATAACAACACACACAGGATAGAAGTTCCCACGGTAGGACTTGAACCAGTGACCTTTCAGTTGCTGACAGTTATGTCCAATGACTGTGTATTAATCCTTGTGAACAATTGTGACTGCTATAAAACTACTAGCATAATGCATTAATAAATGCTGAAAATATCTTTGTAAGGTTAAATTCAGTCAGTGCACAGTCTTTGACAAAATCATCTTGTTAAAATTTTATTGGCATTTAATATATAAATTATGCTCCCTTGGACTTTTTTTTTAAAAATATCAGACAATTAGCCAAATGTAAATGATTTACTACGTTGGTAATTGATTATATAAATGCTTGATTTTTCATTATTTTACACTGCTTGATGACAAACTATAAATTTCTCATTAGTAATAGACCACTAGCTGTGTGCATTTTTGCTAAAAATATATTTCACCTTTTACAAAGTTCATGATATACCATAACCTACAAACCACAAAGATACATCAACTTAATCAGTTTCAAATGATAAATCTTCAAAACTATGAATTCCTAAAATACACATGAAGAATTTATCATAAGAAGCACCACTCATGAAATAAAATTACCTGGTTGTAATTTTTTTAGTGCTAAAATACATGCAAAACTCTACAGTCTATTTGCAAATAAATGTTCTAGTGATTTGATGTCTGCGAGTCATTTTCAGTTCTCAGGTCAGTAAGGAATTCTACAGATATACAATAATACTTCAGTCTCTGGAATATATCTGTACAGCTATGTTCTTTGTGTACTAAGATTTCAAGTCTCGGCTTTGTCGTGTTGTCTGTGCCCATTGCTGGCGTGTTGTGATCGTCAAACTAAGTATCAGTTTACAGGAATCTATGCAGTCATTATCATCTGTATCTTATATCCGTGGGCTGTAGATAGAGAAAAAAAACCTCTGAGCAGTATTTTTCTCTATTCATAGTTTCCTTAAATGCACTAAGAACCAACATTTTCAATAGGTTTGCATTCATGATGCACAGAAATTAAAAGGGGGGGGATAATACAATGAAAATGTATACAAATTTTTAAAAAATTTAGTTCTTACTATTGCATATATTTTGACTGTATAAATACTAATTGCATAGAAAATTTAACCTTTCGAATCAAAGGTAATTTCTGGTAGCCAGTGGAAGCACACATAATATTGCAGTTATAATAATAAAAAGGCTTGCAATACAAATCCACTAGTTATTAAATTTTGGAAATAGAATCATACAATTATTTTTCTGTGTGATAATCGCTAAAGATAAACATGTTGCTGCAATTTTTCATTTATAGAATATAAAGAGCCAACAGTAGGAGATGTTATTTTGGATTATCTGGATTATAAGGAGTAGCTTAATTAATATATAATTGTGGAGCCACTCTTAATTCACTGCTTCCAGGTGATATTAATAGAAAATCAACTAGTGAGCTTATTACAAGGTTTGATGTTCTATTGCAGGGATTTCAAGTGGCAAAGAAGGAGAAGATTAGCCCATGGGAGGTGATTGAGGGATACAAGAACCCCCCTCCTTTATCTTGGCATTTCTTTGGTGCAGTAAAACAGGAAAAGAAACCTCTTAAATATGAGGATCAGCACAGGTAAGACAAATAAATATGAGGATCAGCACAGGTAAGACAAATGACCAGGTGCTGTAGGTAGCACAGGTAATACAAATGACCAGGTGCTGTAGGTAGCACAGGTAAGAAAAATGACCAGGTGCTGTAGGTAGCACAGGTAAGAAAAATGACCAGGTGCTGTAGGTAGCACAGGTAAGAAAAATGACCAGGTGCTGTAGGTGTAAAGTCATTTTTGGTTAAAAATTTAAGATAATAGATTTAGATTTATTTTAGATTTGTACATATTGAAAAAAGGAGGACTTCGTTAAAAGTTTGTCCTAACCTTTAGAAGTGGTGCCTCAGTGTAAAGTGTTTGTGGAAAACCATGATAATTTATTTTTTTTCTACTTTTACTTGTGTTTGTCTGAGTATTATTAGAAATTATAAGTGGGTGGAAATATAAACCACAATTCATTATTAGGAAATGGAAAAACACTTATTTAAATAAATTATGGGTGTAGGGAATTCCAGGTTCATTAGTGTAACCGAGCAGGGAGTGTTGTCCGAGTCAAGGCCACATTTCCTGGCAAATATTAATTTATTATGATTCTGTTGATAAAGATGTTTCTAGTGTTGCTTGACCACATCTTTATCCTTTAGTTTATTTCATCAGTATAGCATAAATAAATAGAGGATGTTCAATGTTTTGTAGTTGGATATGGAATTTAATTGATAAGTGGGACAGGATTTTTTTTATATTTTCACAAGTGCGAAGCACGAGTGAAAATATAAAGAAATCCTGTCTCACAAATGAAATAAATTCCATATCCAACTCCAAAATGTTGAATTTTCCATTTTTTACATTTTCTTTGATTTTTCCTTTGCCTCTGTCTTTCCTTAACACAGTGTCATAGGCTAGCTGTGATGAGGTTTTAGTTGAGAGATTGAAACATCATAGCTTAGAGATTGTCAGATTGAAAACATTGTAAATATTTGATTTCAACAACAATTTGGAGAAAGTTTGGCAGTTTTAGTCTCTGTCAGGATGGTTTATTTATTCTCTCCATCTTATAACAGGTCAGGGATTATTTTTACAACACTCTTTGTAAAGGAAAATCTCGAGTTATGCTACATTTCCGATATTTTGTCACACTGTGACAAAATATCATTTTGATATTCTCAGACACTGTGACAAATCACTTTTTAATATTTAATAAATAAATTACATTGATAAATTCAGTAAAGTAAAGAAAAGTCTCTGTATTCCCTATATAGAGAAACAGTCAACATAATTGATATTAACTCCAACAAAAAATATTGTCGGTCATTTAATTTTAACTATTAACTGGCAAAGAGAGTTTTCCAACTATATTTTTAGCTCTACTGGTCAGAGACCAGAAGAACTTATGCAATAGTAAGGTGTCTGTTGTCCATCCATCTGTCTGTATAGCTGTCTAGCTGTCCGACGGTCTGTAAACAATTTTTCAAAACAGTTTTGGTCTGATTTCAATATAACTGGCACACAAGTTGACTACACTAAGATACATAATTCTTTGTATCCGTTTTTGATTTTGATGAACAGTGTTGCCATGGTTACTAAAAATAGCAATTTCCTTGAAATACATTCAAAGTGCTACTCCTCCTACAGTTTTGATCTCATTTCAATATAACTTGGCACACAAGTAGACTACACAAAGATACATAATTCCGTGTATTGGTTTTTGATTTCGATGAACGGTGTTGCCATGGTTACTAAAAAAAGAAATTTCCTTGAAATACTTTCAAAATGCTACTCCTCCTATAGTTTTGGTCTGATTTTAGTATAACTTGGCACACAAGTAGACTACGCTAAGATACATAATTCTCTTTACCAGTTTTGGATTTTGATGAACAGAGTGTCATGATTACTAAAATTAGAAATTTTTTGAAATACTTTCAAAATGCTACTCCTCCTACATGTTTTGTCTGATTTCAGTATAACTAGGCGTACAAGTAGACTACACTGAGATACATAATTGTCATTGCTTTTTGATTTTGTTGAATGATATTGCCATGGTTACTTAAATCGAAATTTCTGTAAAATTATTTTAAAAGGCTACTCCTCCTACAGTTTTATTCTGATTGCAATAAATCTTGCCACAAAAACAGACTAAACTAAGGATCATTATTCTATTTCTTGCTGTTGCAAAGTTTCAAGTCCAAGTGCTACTTTTATCTTCCTTTATAACACAACCAGTAGAGCTACAGTCTCATCAGAGACTTCTGGTTGATTTTGATTAGAAGATTGATCTATTGTGACATAATGATAAAAAAGTAACACAAACATGGCAACTTGAAGATTCACTAGCACTACAAAGTGCAGATAATGCACTGGTTACAAAAAAGTTGATCAATTATAAAAATGTAATCAACATAATATTTATTTAAAGGGGGAGTTTCGATAAGGCCGTTTTGAAGCCCCTCACGAAATTTTATGAAATTTTGATATTTTGTAGAAAAACTCCTTATCTTCCTAAAAATATGAAAATAATTAATGTTATGCATTTTCCGGTCACATGATAATTGAAAATTTAAGTATACTCCCTTTCGTATATTTTTGAAGTAGACATTTTTACACGGGGAAAGTGGATTTTTTTAACCGTCAAAATCGTAAATGAAATAGGATAAATATGAATAAAGACATAAATTGACCAATTTCAACAATTTTTTTTATGGAAAATGGTATTTATTTTATGCGAAGGTTTTTAAGGTGCGATATTTTTCTGGTGTGTTAAATGTTACTTTTCTTTAAAAGAGGATGAATTGAACTTATAAAACTTCAACATATAAAGAGAGTTTTAACATTATAATTAATCGACAGTTTATACATAAACTTTGTAATCAATATTTAACATTTTTCCACACGAAAAATGCAAATGAAAAGATATGTAGACATGAGATAGGTAAACATAAAAATGTCATATACAGGTATATGCAATACATTTTCATCAATGAGGTTATAAAACTACATTTTTTATAAAAATATACCTTAATATCATAAAATTGAAATTAAATAAAATGTTTTGAAATAAAAAGATTAAAAAATAAATGGAACTTTAAATACATACATAAATAAAAAGTTTATTTAAAAGCATCATATTGCTACGTAAGCCGGTACATTGTAGGTGCAAGGTAAGAAAAATATTTTATCTGGCGGCCGCCACATAATTATTTGGTGGCCGCTAGAAAAATATATCTGGCGGTTGTCAGTTTTCCTGCAGCCACCACATAAATAACTGGCGGCGACCAGAAACCTATCTCTTAGTCGCCACATGAATAGCTAGAAGCGGACAAATAAGTTTCTTGCGGTGTAGATTTGTAATCTAATAAAACATAAATTTTAAGTTATGACGTGAAGACATTATGAAGTGTATTTTTGTACAAAGTGTAGATTTGATCTTTGCTAATAAGGCATGAAACTCCCAGATTTGACTACAAACAGAATTTGTAGATGTCATTTAAGGCATCGCCTTCAAAAATACCTGGCCTGTGTACCTCTATCAATCAAGTGCATTAAGGTACATCATTGGGTGCTACAACTTTATTGGCAAAAACACTACAGTTTTATCTGGCTGCCGCCAGATATTTCTGACAGCCGCCGGCTTCAGTATATTGCAATGTATTTGATAATATGAATAATATTAGTTACAGTCAAAAATATTTTATCATGATACGTAATATGTGAATAGCCAAGTGATGGAAAAATCTATAATACATTGAGTGTTTCCTTTTCATTATGAAACTTAGAAGTATTTGCCCACATAGATCTGCGTTATGTTTTCAGCATAGCTGAGAGAATCCCAGCCAGGACTAATTGCCTCTCGCTTCCCAACTCTCCATAGAAATTTAAGCTGCTTCACCAACTCTAGTCACTTCTCATTTAGAGAGTTTTAGAATTCATTATATATGATTTGCTAGACCAGAGTGCAAATACATGTGTAAACGCCAAAGATATGTGTTTAATCCTTAATCAGGCAGACATATGCGCCTAGACATCCAGACTTAAAACAATCCACGTTCCCTATATGTCAACCACATGGATATATGGGCGCTTCTCTAGCATGTTGGAGCGTGGATTTATATACGAGAAAGTCAAAAATATTTATATGCAAGATAGATAACGTTAAAGAATGGATTTGCTCTAAAACTTATTTTTTGTTCAGTAGTCGGAAAATGTAAGAAAGATCCAGCATTTGAACTATGTCTGGTAGTGTGCAATCCTAGATGCATCATCAGTGCAAGTTTGGTTACGATAGGGCTTATAGTTACATAAGAATGAGACCTGCTTCAAAATCTTTAACCTGCTCACACATTAAGGAAATGTAGGTCATATCCAGCATCTAAAGCAGTCTAGTAGTGTGCATCCGTAAATGCATCATGAAGCAAGTCTGGTCAACAAGTGCTTACAGCTGCTCTGCTCCAAAAACTTATACCTGCTTTTAAAACATTTACGTGGACATTCTTTGGCTAAAAATCCAGCATCTGAAACCTTACTGGTGACAAGGAAACATGCTGGATCAGGTGACTCTGATAAATATAGGGCATAGATATACTTGAAAAAAGAAATCTGCTTCAAAAACTTTTAGCTGGAACACCGATACCAACAGTATTACAAAAGATCCCCCAACTTCGAGGAGGTGAGCTAAAAATGTGACGCTAACGTTATACGTTGGCGACAAAAAAAGTATGGAAATGAAGAAAGGATACGATAATGTTTTCTGCTGTTAATATAATCGATAACCTTCTTTGATTTAAAAAAATATTCTACTTTTGGCATAGTATTTTAACACAGAGTCAGATCATGAAACCAGGAGCTTCTAATTTTAGATATGCAAATTTTATGCAATTTTTAATTTTTGGATATGAAGTGCACATGTGACACTCATCATATTTCAAGAAATTAGTGTCCAGAGTATACCTAATTACTGAAGAAATTTAGGTGAGTGTCCCTCATGCACTTCATATTCTAAACATCGATTTATAAATGCAACTCTTTTATATTTTCCTATAAGCCTAATGTTAACGGATCTGAGGGTACATCTAAGTATGTACCAGCTACGGTGTGAATTCATCTCATATTAACTTTTGAAATATAAATAACAAAAGTTAACATATTGATCTTGAATTCTAAAGTAGTATTGAAAAAATAAATTAAAATTTATTTTTATGAAAAATATTGGGCTGCTGAGCGGCCTTATCAAAACTCCCCCTTTGTTTTGCATATAAAAAACAATTGTTGACTGTGTTTTTTGGCAACATTGATTATGTTAGTTCTCTTGGGACAAAAATTTTGCTCTCTGTTCTGTGTTAGGCATCCCTTGGGGGCTAATATAATCAATGTTGCCCTCAACTTCAGTCAATATTTGTATAGTATTTCACTGTAGAGATTGTAATAAAATTTCTTCCAACATTAAGCTGCTTATTCTATTGACAGGTTGTTATTGTATCACACTCACTCACTCCGCCAGCCCCTGGCTCATTTCTTGGATCCACCTTCCCTACCCCCTGAGGACCTTGAACCAGTTCCCGAAAAAACTGTGAGTTCATTCTCCAACTCATACAGAAATTCACTGATTTACACCTATTTAAATGCTCAGACTGCAAGAAACCCATGGGCCACAGCACTCACCGTATATTTATTGTTTGTATATGTTAAGTCAGCCTCAGATGATTTTTTTCTCTTTGGCACGGATCAGAGCTATAGTGTATTGGCCATGATTTAAATAATTTTAATCCATATTAGACCTGTATTTTCATTTTAAACTTAAAGCCATGTCCTCAGCTCTGTCTTTGTTTGCAGGAATATTGTTGCCACTAAAGATACATTGTATTAACTCATATTTTCTCATTTAGATTTTTTCCAAAGTTTAATTCCATTACTTTATACGTGCCCATAAACTTTCTTCTCCCATACCAGCAATTATAAAAATTTATTGACATTGTCTGTGTATTATGATAAAAGTTACTACCCTCAAAATAGTGAGCTGACTGGAATTTCATAAATTGTATTCAATTCAAAAACTTTTTTTTTTCAAGGAGGACAAACCTAAAGAGGTGAGTGAGAGTCACCATCAGGATATGAACAAGAAGAAGAAACCCAAAAAGAAAACAAACAGGACCAACAGTGGGGGTGGACAGGGAGGATATAACATACAGGTCAGTAATACTTAATATCCTACACAAATATCCTATATAAATATCCTATACAAATATCCTACACAAAAAACAAACAGGACCAACAGGGGGATGGACAGGGAGGATATAACATACAGGTCAGTAATACCTAATATCCTATATAAATATCCTACATTATTATCCTACATAAATATCCTACACAAATATCCTACACAAAGAACAAAAAGGACAAATAGTGGAGGTGTACAGGGAGGAAACAACATACAGGTCAGTAATACTTAATATCCTATATAAATATCCTACATTGATATCCTACATAAATATCCTACACAAATATCCTACACAAAAACAAACAGGACCAACAGGGGGGGGGGGGGGGGGGGGGAGTGGACAGGGAGGATATAACATACAGGTCAGTAATACCTAATATCCTACACAAATATCCTATATAAATATTCTATACAAATATCCTACACAAAAAACAAACAGGGCCAACAGTGGGGGTGGACAGGGAGGATATAACATACAGGTCTGTAAAACTTAATATCCTACTCAAATGTCCTACATTGATATCCTACACAAATATCCTACACAAAAAACAAACAGGACCAACAGTTGGGGTGGACAGGGAGGATACAACATACAGGTCAGTAATACCTACTATCCTATACAAATATCCTATATAAATATCCTACACAAATCTCTATAAAAATCCTACACAAGAAATCAGACAGAACAAACACTGGAACTGGACAGGGCAGATACAACATATAGGTCAGTTATATTAAATTTCCTACCTAAAACACTAAGTAGTTGAAGAGGAAAATGGCACTAAATTTTGAGTGTGCCAGTTTACTTTGTTTATTGTGTATTGATTCAGCTCCAGCTGTTACATCTAGGGATTCATACCACCCCAAAAATATTTGACACAAGTATTCCAGAAATGCTGTGGAAATGTCGACAACTTGTTCTCATTTGTAGCCTCCTGTTCGCCAGTATCAACAATCAGCAAACTGGTACCAAACACAGCCACAACAACATCCACAGTTCTATGGCAACCAGCCCATGCCAGCAGGTGAGGTTTACTCAAGACAGTCATAGGGTAGGAAGTGGTATATAGACACAGGCACCCGTTTCTGTAATAAAAGTTCTTACCCCATACACTAAACAAAACTGCTAATGCACCACCATATTTTTCAAAAATTGTTCATAATGTATTTAATATACAATTACATGTATGTTACTTAAGTAAAAAAATGAGACATTTAATTATCTTTACTGATGAATAACTAGAATGTTAGCCATTTCATATGATTTAAGCAAGAATGCTTCTTCCAAAACTGTGAATTACTTAACCCTTGGTTCAGGTATTCTGGTGTTAGAGTGGGGCTCTCTTGAAAATGTATTATTTCTTTGAAAATCTTCTCTGCCCATGGTTATTTAGGAAAAAGGCTAAGTACATAGTTATGATAAGCAAGTGCGACTCTTCCATAATTGTGAATTTCGTGGCCCCTGGGTAACTGGCTCTGGTGTTGGTGGGCTGTGTTGAATCTTTAGTAAAAATGCATCAATGTTTAAATATTGCAGTGAATAAATAAAATTTTTTACACTTTATTTTTCAAAAAAATGTTAGGATATTTTTCTGAGGCAATTTTAGAAACATTTTTTTACCCAATCAAAATCCAAGAGAAGAGTTTTAATGCTGTTGATGGAGATGACAGAAAATAAAAACAAGCATGCTACATATGGTTCTGTAGATAAGTTATCATAGAAGATAATCATAATACTGTACAGCAGGTTAAAATCGCGGTCGGAAAAGATCGCAATTTGTTCAATTTGCAGCAAATCGTGGTCGTTTGAATTCGCGGAAAGGACAAATTATAAAAACTTTTTTCAGCACTACCAAGTATTTTCCTTGCATTTTGTGTCAATTCGGTATCCAATTAAATAGAACAAAACACCATACGGATCCCAATTAGAAGATAAAATATTGTACGATTTACAGTTTTACACATTTAGATGGATTTTCTTCTTTCTTTCTCCTGTTTTTTTTTTCTTTCTTTGTTTTTATTAAATATTTTTGAAATACATATGAGTCTGTACTGAAGTGATTTATTCAAGTGATTTAAGTCTTATCCAAACATATTAACATTCATGAAAAAAAAAAGAAGCCCTTTGGCAGGTGTTCGTCATAGATATGTTTTGAGAAGTGTACATAGTAGATTTAGTATTTACAGCTTACAGCAGTATTTTAAATCCTCCAGAATCTAAATCAGCTGTCAGTACCAATAGTCAAAATATTGAACTGTTATAAAATTGAATTAATGTGTAACAGTGTTGTCTTTACTACTTAAAAGTCTTGATTAAAGATAATAAGACTGAGTGATATGTACGGGTGAAATCTAACAATACATGTTATATAGATAATTACATTGCACCTCTACTGGGTGGCAGAATTAAACGTTAGTTATATACATTTATTTATCAATTAAGCTTTACAAACACCAACGTGTTAGTGATTGATTCGTACACCCGCATAATTAGGAAGACAGTCTACATAACCTTTATATCAATTACTGCTTTTATGTTTGCAAGGAAACACAGATAGAGTTAACGATTCTAATCACAGATATCTGTAATATTTATGTCTCCCCTTCCAGGGGAGACATATTGTTTTGTCGATTTTCTTATTCTTCTTCTTCATCTTCTTCTTCATCCAAATTTTGTCCAGGCCGTAACTTTTATACCCTTTGACATTAAGACTTCAAACTTGGAACATAGATAGATGACATTGAGAAGGAGTGCACGCCACCAACATTTTTGACCTTGACCTATTTATAAGGTCAAGGTCAATCTTTTACAACCACCAACGTGTTAGTGATTGATTCGTACACCCGCATAATTAGGAAGACAGTCTACATAACCGTTATATCAGTTACTGCTTTTATGTTTGCAAGGAAACACAGATAGAGTTAACGATTCTAATCACAGATATCTGTAATATTTATGTCTTCCCTTCCAGGGGAGACATATTGTTTTTGTCGATTTTCCTCTTCTTCTTCTTCCAAATTTTGTCCAGGCCGTAACTTTTATACCCTTTGACATTAAGACTTCAAACTTGGAACATAGATAGATGACATTGAGAAGGAGTGCACGCCACCAACATTTTTGAACCTTGACCTATTTATAAGGTCAAGGTCAATCTTTTACATCAAAATAGAGTTTAGCCCATAACTTGAGATCCCTTTGATATTAGGACTTCAAACTTGTAACATAGGAAGAAGACCTTGAGACAAAATGCACTGCATTAGAATTTTGACCTTGACCCCTTTCTACCTTCAAGGTCAAATAGGGAAAAAACACAATCAGACCATAACTTGAGAACCTTTTGACATTTAGACTTCAAACTTGGAACATGCAGAGGTGGTATAAAGGAGGGATGCATGCCACCAAAATTTTGACCTTGATTCAATTATTATAAGGTCAAGGTCAATCTTTTACATCAAAATAGAGTCCAAGCCATAGCTTGAGTACCCTTTGATATTAGGACTTCAAACTTGTAACATAGACAGAAGACATTGATACAAGATGCAACACACCAAAATTTTTGACCTTGACCTCTTTTCTTCCTCAAGGTCAAATAGGGAAAAAACTTAATTTAGACCATTACTTAAGAATCCTTTGTTATAAAGACTTCAGACATGGAACATGCAGAAGTGGTATGAAGGAAGGATGCATGCCACCAAAATTTTTGACCTTGATCCAATTATTATAATGTCAAGGTCAATCTTTTACATCAAAATAGAGTCCAGGCCTTAGCTTGAGTACCCTTTGATATTAGGACTTCAAACTTGTAACATAGAAAGAAGACATTGTTACAAGATGCAACGCTTCAAAATTTTGACCTTGACCCCTTTCTTCAAGGTCAAATAGAGAAAACATGACTAGACCATAACTGGAGAACCCTGACATTAAGACTTCAAACTTGGAACATGGAGAGTAGAGGAAGGGTGGATGGCAAAATTTTTTCACCTTGATCTATTAATAAAGTCAAGGTCAATCGTTTACATGAAAATATAGTCTAGGTCATAACTTGAGAACTTTTTGACATTAGGATTTCAAACTTGGAACAAGGAAAGACAACATTGAGACTAAATGCACTGCATCAAAATATTTGACCTTGACCACTTTCTTCAAGGTCAAATTAAGAAAAACACACCAGACCATTACTTGAGATCCGTTTGACATGAAGACTTGAAATTTTGTACACAGAATTTGAGTTGAGATGCACTGCATTATTATTTTTGACCCTGATCATATATTTGCACTCGTTAATGTTGGTAAAGAAGGGGAGACATGTGTTTTTTTGTAAAAAAAAACAATACCCACTAGTTCAATTTATCCTCATCAATTTTTGAAGAATTATTCACTGTATGTTGAATTCGCGGAATTTTTATTTCTGCAAATATAGCGAATATTAACTCCGCGAGTTAATTTCCTGCTGTACAGTAAACAGTTTGCCAGTGCATTTTCTTTGAAAGTTTAAATGACTGCAATTCTGGGGAGGAGGGCACTCTATATAATTTGGAGTTAGATACCTTTTGTTATTATACTATGGCGTAAAAAAATTATTACAGAAAAAAGTACCTCTGAATTTAAATACCAAAGCAGAGAACAGTCATGTGGTTTAAATGCATATAAACACTTTTTTTCTGTAGATTTTTTTCTGAATATTGTATTAGACCCTTTATGCCCAGGGTTTAGTTTTGGCATCTATATCTGAATGATTTGTGTCAATTTATCAATTTTCCCAAGTTTAGAATTTTAAATGGTCTTTCATTTGGAATGCCATTAGATATCTTTTGATCACCAATATATCTTTCAAAAATACTTTGAATATCATAAATAATGTATTTGTTTCAAGGGAGGTTAATTGTAGAATTGGTAAACACCGGGATATACAATTAAAAAAATTAATTTTATTAAGCTCAAAAAATATAAGTCTATCAGAATAGAACTTTATAACATGTTTGAAATAAATGTTCTCTGTATAAATCATTTCCCTCAGGACCTCGATTTGAGACCCCTCCCTACGGGATGCAGAGTATGACCCCCTCTAAGATGGCCCTCCAGCAGATGATCAGAACTCGTCATCCTGGCAACATGCACCAGTGGCCTAACACTAGCCAGCAGTCCATGCAGGCCCTACAGATGTTACAGAAGCAGCATAGCCATCGAATGGTTCGTCAGCAAATCAGACAGTCCTTCCAGAATCATAACCGTGGAATTTCCTCTGATGGTGGACAGGGCATGTTTTCTGGTGGCATGCACTCAATGAATCAATCACAAGGTTAGAACATGTATAAGCCTATTCTGTATTTTGTCCATTCGAGCCTCGGTAATTTGGACTCCAGTATCAGAATATTTTACTTTGCAGACAAATTTTTTTGGGAACAGAATTTACATTTATATCTACCAAGTGTAAAACCTTTGAAAAATTTATTAATATATACATGTCATGTACAATTTGCTTGGGAACACAAGGCATCTAGATTAATGAGGCGCAACTGTACTAGATTCAGGGCTGTCAAAGGACTTTTTGATACAGGGGTGGGTTCTTTGTTTTTAGAAAAATAGACAGTAAATTTTCAAGAATTGGTTAAAACATTTGAATTTATGTTGTTCTTAATCTAAGTGATTCCTCTGGCATATGAATTTACGTTGTTCTTAATCTAAGTGATTCCTCTGGCATATGAATTTACGTTGTTCTTAATCTAAGTGATTCCTATGGCATATGATGAAAATCAGGTAATCTTGGCACAACTCCGTATGCCCCTGTATCGAAGTTCATGGGTATACAGTTTTTGCCCTGTCTAGCTGTCTTGTTTGTCTGTTTGTCCACAAAAACTTTAACATTGCTCATAACTTTTGATTGGTTTGAGCTATGGCTTTCATATTTCACATGTGTATTGCTTGTGACAAGACCTTTCATTAGGTACCATCATATTTGACCTTGACCTTGGAGTTTGACCCAGTTTTACAAAATTTTACCCAACTTTAACCTTGGCCATAACTTTGAACAGTTGGTACTAGGACTTTCATACTTCACATGTGTAATCCTTGTGACAAGACCTTCCTTTAGATACCAACAATTGTAGCCTATTGACCTTATCTTGGAGTTTGATCTACTTTTAAAAACTTGAACCTTGGCCATAACTTAAAACGCTTGGTGTGAGGACTTTCATACTTCACATTAGGGGTCCAACGATACACTAACCTCACGATACGATACATATCATAGTATTCAGTTCACGATACAATACATATCACAATACATGACAAGGTAAGGAAGTCTTTCAAGTTTTTAAAACTCGACAGGGTTATATCAAATGTTCATATTTTTTGATAAATTAAATCTCAATTTGTTAACTTTATCTGGATTGATAGGTAGATCTTTGAGTTGTAACAATATTCTAAACCAATGAAGAACATTAACATGGAACTACGGTAGCCTGGATTCAAAGTTCAGATATGAATTATTTATAGAAAGGGGCCTTTCCTCATAATCTTTCTTTTAAATTGGAATGAAAAAGGAAGTCATTCATTCTTTTATTCCTTTTATTTACGTAGAAAACAAGTTGTCATATTTCTCGTATTATCACGTCCTACTCCACAAGTTGGAAATACACGCGTGATGAGATACCGTGTATTACCATAGAATACTTTTAGATGTAAAGGGTTTATCACTTGTCTTAACATCTATAACTTTTAATCACATTAGGAATGAGTTAAAGTCCTTCACCCTGTTAAATCTGAGGTCTGTAAAATGCTTGAGATGAGTTTAATTGCCGTTGCTGCATTATCAGAAGCCATTTTGAAATTGTAAACGAGGAAACAAAACGGACAATTCAAATAATTCTGGACCGATTGAACTGAACCGTCATATCAGTTTAGCGTATCGTGAATTGAACCGTGGAAAAATATATCGCGATATACCGTTAAACGGTTTATCGTTGCACTCTTACTTCACATGTGTAATTCTTGTGACAAGACCTTCCTTTGGGTACCAACAACTTTGACCCTTTGACTTGGAGTTTGACCTACTTTTGAAAAACTTGAACCCTGGCCATAACGTTTGAATTGTTGGTGCTAGGGCTTTGGTTCTTCACATGTGTAATCCTTGTGACAAGACCTTCCTTTAGATACCAACAATTGTAGCCCATTGACCTTGATCCTGGAGTTTGACCTACTTTTGAAAAACTTGAACCTTGGCCATAACTTTTGAACAGTTTATGCTAGGGCTTTCATACTTCACATATGTAATCATTGTGACAAGACCTTACTTTGGATACCAACAACTTTGACCCTTTGACCTTGACCTTGGAGTTTGATCTACTTTAGAAAAACTTTAACCTTAGCCATGTTTTGAATGGTTAATACTAGAGCTTTCATATTTCAAATGTGTATTTCTTGTGAGATGGCCTTTACTTTGACACCATTAATTTTGACCATTTGACCTTGACCTTGATGTTTGACTTACTTTTGAAAAAAAACTTTAACCTTTGCAATATCTTCTCAATGGTTGCTGCTTGGGTCTTTCATATTTCACAGGTATATTTGTCGGGACAAACCCTTATTTTGGGTTCCAACATTTATGATTTGAATTTGAGAAAGTTTAACCTTCGCTAAAAGTTGCCATTCGGGGGCATCAGTGTTTCACAAACACATCTTGTTCAAAGATGATACTTAGTGTTGTATATGCATTTTTAGGTCACCTGAGTCACTCAGGTGACCTATTGCTATCCGTTTTTGTCCGTCGGCATTCGTCGTGCGTTAACATTTGAAAATTTTCAGCTTCTTCTCTGAAACTGCTTAACCAATTTCAACCAATTTTTGCATATAGCATCTAAGGGTGAAGGGGAACAAAAATTGTGAATTTCAGGGTCCTTGTCCCCCTTGGGCCTGAGGGTAGGGTTAAAACCACCAAAATTAATGCAGTCTTTAAAAATCTTCTTCTTCACTCCTGGGCATCAAGCAGTCAAACTGTTGGCATGATTGTAATAAGCAGTGAGCCCTCTACCAAAATTATGAAATTCATGGCCCCAGGGTCAGGGGTTCTGGTGTTAGGGCGGGGCTATATAGGTCATATAGTGAAAGTGCATTATTTCTTTGAAAATCTTCTTCTCTGCTCCTGGGTATCAAACATACTTACTAAGTATATAGTAATGATGAGCAAGAGTGCCTCTTCCAAAATTGTGAAATTCATGGCCCCTGGGTCAGGGGTTCTGGTATAAGGGGGGGTCTCTATTGATTATATAGAGAAAATACATTAATTCTTTGAAAATCTTCTTCTCTGCTCCTGGGTGTTAAACAAACTAACTGAATACATAGTTATGGTGAGCATGTCTGCCTCTTCCAAAATTATGAAAGTCATGGCCCCAGGGTCAGAGGTTCTGGTGTTAGGGCGGGGCTCTATTGATTATATAGTGAAAATGCATTAATTCTTCAAAAATCTTCTCCTCTGCTCCTGGGTATTAAATAAACTAACTAAGTATATAGTTATGATGAGCAAGAGTGTCTCTTCCAAAATTGTGAAATTCATGGCCCCTGGGTCAGGGGTTCTGGTGTTACGGTGGGCTCTTTAATTATAAAGTGAAAATGCATTTATTCTGCTAAATAATCCTGTCTAATCCTTAGTGTTGAGCAGATAAACGAAGTGCATAGTGCTTCTTACAAAATTTTTTAAAAAGTTGTGGTCCCAGGGCGAGGGGCTTTTGTGTTTCTCATTGGGCGGGGGGTCTATTGATAATATAGTGAAAATGTGTTAATTCTTTGAAAATCTTCAACTAAGTGCAGAGTTATGATGATGAGGGTACCTCTTCCAAATTTGTGAAATTCATGACCCTTGGTCATGGGTTTTGGTGTTAGGGTAGGGCTGTGTTGAATCTGTAGTCATGGTGCATGTAGTGAAAATGCATTATTTCTTCGAAAATCTTCTCTGCTCTTTGGCATATGAAAGGCAAACAAAGTAAAAGTTTTAATAAGCAAGGGTGTTTTTACCAGATTTTTGAACATCTGGACCATTTGGTCAAGTGTTCTGGTCCTGGGCAGGGCTCTATTTATTATTTATTCTACTGGGAGAAGTTATTCCCCTTTGCAATTCACTTTTGATAATTAATCACTGTAAATAATGTATTTGAAAAGTTAATAGAATAAGAGAATTGTGCAAAAAATTTTATTGTATAATACAGAAACTACTTTTGTAGTTTTAATGATCAGATAGACTTGTAAATAATAGAATAATAAAAATGAGACAAAAGTAACTTATTTATTTGTTCTTCAAAGACCAAGAGAAGCCAATGTGAGAGATTACAATTGTACAGAATCACCAATAGTTTGATAACAGTCTGCATGGTGATAGTGCTAAATGGGGGATAGATTAGAATTTAATTTATGAGTTGTTATTAAATACTAGACTAATTATTTCATTGATCCTGATCCTCCTATTTCTCTTGCTTTTTGGCCAAAAAAGCTTCATCTACCAGTTTATTTTATATTCTATAGATCCTCTAAGTTGTATTATACTCAGGTGAACGTTAAGGCCCTTGGGCCTCTTGTTATTTCTTGCACCTGAAAATAAGTAGAGATATTTTTAAAAAAAAAAAGTGCAAGAGTTCATATAGTGAGCATTTATTAACACATTCTTCATAACTGAACACAATTATTAAAAGAAGCAATTTGATAACTATTTACGCATTCTGTAAATAACATCACAGCCAATAGGAGTATATGCCTGTCCCCCATGAAACATTGATATTTCTTGAAAACTCACAGAAAATATCAAATGATGATGAAGGAGAAGAATCGGAGACATTGTAAATCACAAAAGCTTAATTAAAAAGATAAAGGTAATAAAAAACTGAACAAGACAAACACACCCCTCAACTTCTAAAGTCAGTACAGATTCTAAGGATAAAAGATTTACTTACCTAGATTATATCATCAGAGAAAAAAAAGCATATCAAAAAATAGTGTCTCCTAATGTAAAAAAGATTTGGTAATACATGTACACATACGTCTTCCTTGTTGCTTCTACCCAAGAGATTCTAAACTGGAAAATTATTTTAGTAAAACTGTATTCACAGATAGACAAATTACATCAAGAAACACATTTGTTTTAAAATAATTCAGTGAGAGTATTGCCATGGGAAACAGAAATTTAAAAAAAAATTCTTGCATAACATTTGAAAGTGAAAGTAGACAGGGATAAAAATGATGCAATCTTAGCCATAATAATGTTTCTATTACAGTTGGGATGTCTCAAAATTATGGTCCTTCCTACAACATTCCACAACAGTCTACGACTATAGACCCTGGTATGATGCCTCAGGGGAATTATAACCAGTCCTACAATGGAGCACAGGGGTCAGGCATGATGCCGCAGGGAGGATTCATTCCTCAACAACAGCAGCCCACACAACAACATTTCAGTCAGCCATCTAAGTAAGTATATACAGCAATACACAACAACATTTCAGTCAGCCATCTAAGTAAGTACATACAGCAGTACACAACAAGATTTCAGTCAGCCATCTAAGTAAGTATATACAGCAATACACAACAACATTTCAGTCAGCCATCTAAGTAAGTATATACAGCAATACACAACAACATTTCAGTCAGCTGTCAAAGTAAGCATATACAACAATACACAACAACATTTCAGTCAGCCATCTAAGTAAGTACATACAGCAGTACACAACAACATTTCAGTCAGCCATCTAAGTAAGTACATACAGCAGTACACAACAACATTTCAGTCAGCCATCTAAGTAAGTATATACAGCAGAACACAACATTTCAGCCAGCCTTCTAAGTAAGTATATACAGCAGTACACAACAATATTTCAGTCAGCCATCTAAATAAGTATATACAGCAGTACACAACAACAATTCAGTCAGCCATCTAAGTAAGTATATACAGCAGTACACAACATCAATTCAGTCAGCCATCTAAGTAGGTATATACAGCAGTACACAACAACATTTCAGTCAGCTGTCTAAGTAAGTATATACAGCAGTACACAACAACATTTCAGTCAGCTGTCTAAGTAAGTATATACAACAGTACACAACAGCATTTCAGTCAGCCTTCTAAGTAAGTATATACAGCAGTATACAACAACATTCCAGTCAGCCGTCTAAGTAAGTATATACAGCAGAACACAGCAACATTTCAGTCATATATAGAGAGAACACAGTAATATTTCAGTCAGCCATCTAAGTAAATACATACAGCCAACACAAAAAGATTTCAGTCAACCATCTAAGAAATAATCTTAAATGTTTCCAGCAGTAAACAATAACATTCCAGTCAGCCATCTAAGTTTTCTTATGCAGCTGTACACAACAACATTCCAGTCAGCCATCTAAATAAATATATACAGCAATCTACACAATCAACCATCTTAGTAAGTTTATACAGCAGTGTTCCTGAGGAGAGGGTTGATGGACAGGGTTGACTTACCATATGTACATAAAAACACATTTTATATGAATGATTTAGTTTTAAGTTAATAATGAAGATTTCCTTATGAAAGTAATAGTGAGTAGGACTTGGTAAAACAGGCCATCTTAAAGTAAATATTGATCTTTGCAGTCGAATGATGGTACCAGGTCAGATGCAAGGAGCCCAAAATACAATGGGGACTGGGAACACTAACTACACACAGATGGGGCCCTCAGGGATTCCTCAGAATAATTACATACAGAACATACCCTCCAACCCCCAGCAACTTCAGCAAATAAGGCAACAACAACAGCAACAGAGACTGATGGCTATGAAAAGACAATCCATGAGCAACCCTGGTCAGCAACCAGGAGCACAGCAGCAACAAAATGCTGCTCTGATGGCTCAAATTCAGCAACAAATGGCACCTAATCAGTTTGGGAGCTACACCAACCAGCAGCGATATTGATATCTTTCATATCATGAGAATTTGTGGCTGACTGTGGAAAGCAGGTTATACAATTAATGGATCTAGTTGTTTATGGTGGTTTTACTGATCATGTAAACAAAATGGATTTAGAGACCACAGTTCCTGTCAAACATGTCTGGATTTTTTAAAAAAAAAAATTTGGGGGGGGTGCAATAGCTGATACCTATAGTTAATATTACTTGTGCAGAAGGGTACAAATGTTTCATGGCTTTATAGAACAAAGATGATTTTACAAAAAATAAACCTCATACATGTATAGTAGTGGATGTTTAAAAGTCATAGATAAAGATGAAATTCATTTATACTGATAATATTTGTTACATGATATTTATATATTTATATTACTGATGTTGTAATATCTCAGAATCTCCTTGGTGCATGTTGTTAAAAAAGTTGTACATTTGTAGCAAGATATCTTTTTTTATATCATTTTACAATTTATTTTTTAAATTAAGAAATGAATTTAAAAAATGAAGGTTTTCATGTAAAAAGTGAAAGGAAGTGAAATTCAACTTGATGTTGTAGTATCTAAAATTGAAATTCTTCACATTAATTGTTTTATCTCAAATTGTTTGTAAATTTTCTCTATGTAAATGTTACCTATGAAATGATTTGAGAAATGCTTTATAAGCCCTTATTAAAAGAATATGTGTAATAACCAAACATACATCTTTATTTTTATGATGATGGGGTCCACTCATCTACAAAAAATAACCATGTTGCACAGAAAATATAACATACATGATGCCTATAACTTTGAGCTAACTGTCTAATAGAAATTCTGTTGGTTTGACCAGGTAACAGTGAATTCTCTTTCACCAGGTAATGGGACTTAAGGTATGAAGAGATCACATACATGAAATGTCTTACAGCTATTATTTTAAGGTTTGAACAGATATTAATGAATTATCTGTCTGTATGACATGAACAATTCAGCGTGTCCTGAATTGCTGAACCAATTTTAACCAATAATGGCATAAAGAATCTATGGGTGAACTAGTACTGGAACAGAAATCGTGATTTTTATCACCCCCCCTCCACTTGGGTCTATGGTCCTTACAAACAGCATGTTTGCAAATACAACCTTTTGTTAGGTCAATTTTTTATAGAAATTTCTTGGCCTTATTTGTCTACAGACTAGTCCATTTTCCTAATCAAGACTGTGGGTGCTTACTCATCCATGACACCTGATCTCACTCCTGGTATTTCCAGGGGTCCATGTTTGCTCTGCTCCTAATTTAATTTGTTATGCTCATCTTCGAAGAAGGGAGGGCATATTGCTTTGCTGCTGTCTGTTGGCCGGTCGGTCGGTCCACCAACAGTTTCCGTTCATATTTTTCGCAGAGGCTGCACATACTGAAATGAAATTTGGTATACAGATTTATCATAAGAATATCTAGGTCCAGTTCTGTTTTGGGTACGATCGAGCAATTTTTGACAGAGTTATGTCCCTTGGACTTAGAAAAAATCCAATTATTTGCAGCTTTCGTTCATTTTTCTCGCAGAGGTTGCACATACTGAAATGAAATTTGGTATACAGGTTTATCATAAAAATATCTAGTTCAAGTTTTATTTTGGGTACGATCGAGCAATTTTTGAATTTTTGACAGAGTTATGCCCCTTGGATTTGGAAAAATTCCATTTGGGGGGGGGGGGGGGGCATAAGTGTTTCACAAACGTCTCTTGTTTAATTAGATTTTTGAGCTAAATCCATCACATTCCATATATTATCTGAAGCCTCAATTCAAGGCCATTTCTCAAGTCAATGTTGAACCTTGAATTGTTGAACTAAAGACGCCACAAAAAACATTCATTTTGAAATAGTTGTTCTAGCTAAGATGGTGTGGCTTGCTCTAGATTAATTTCAGGTCAATGTAGATGTTGAGATATACTTCTTTAAAACCAAGACTGAAAAAATCACGTCAAAACAATTTGGTAAATAAATGTTTTAAATCCCTGTTTATCTTCTGTAATTTTATATTCATATAATGACTGTTTAGGTAGAAGTTTCTTGCCTTTCAATCGATGACAACATTGAAGTGACTGCCATTTAATACAACGAACCCCAGCCAACCCTAATTTAAATTTACACAAGGTAAAAGTAACAGTGCATTCAAAGCCTATCGTAAATTAAAATTGATGTAATATACATGCTTTACATTCTCTGTGATAATTTACTAGGATACAGCACCGTGCATGTTTGTTGACTAGGAAATGACTTTGCTCGATATCAGATAGCAACACATGGAGAACAAAACGCATTAAAATGTTTACAAATGTATTTGCAATTTTATATCCTTTGCTACATTAAGCATTTTATTTTTTTTTTTAAATACGGGTTTGTTAAGTTTTTCGGAAAAGTAAAATTTCAGAATCAATGTTCATTACTTATGCTCTACTGTATATGTGTCTGAATTTTTCAAATTTACATTGGAACCGTAAAATTAATAACAATTTCGAAATTAAGTATTTTTCCTTGTTAAATACCGATTTTTGACCTCAATGTCCTTCGTAGCAGGCCAGTCCCTAAATTCTGGCAGGTTGTGATGGAAGGAATAATTCAAAAACGTATTTTATGGGCACGCTTACCTTAGGGTCGAAATTCACAAAAATAACAAATTAGGGAAAAAAAATTTTTTACAACCTGGTTTATATTTATTCCCCTCTGGTTTATATTTAACCTCCCTCCTCCCTCAAAGGAACAGACAGGGTAGTAGGTCGGTAGAGCGCCGGTTAGTCGTGGGTTCAACAGCCCCTTGCCGCGACAAACCTAAATCGATCTGAAATACGTAGCAACTTTCCCGAACACTCGGCACAATGGATTGCGGGTCTTGCGAATGAGACCTTAAAAGTAATGGCAGATGTTCGCACGCTTAAGAAATCCCTCTGCTCAATAGCTTGAGTGCCGAGTACGGGTCTTAATTTGAAACAATTCATCTGGTGATGTCTCATAATGGGGGGAAATTTTGTATGTGACATACAAACAATCAACTTTTTTCAAAGTTAAAGCTGAACACTATTCGAATATGGCAGAGATCTGTGTTTATCCTCCATACATGTATATCTCTGCATTTTCGTTCCCTGTACTGCGCTTTTAAAAGCCGTTCACATGGTCACGGTTCGGTGTAATCAGTTTTCACCGTATTCTACATACACATAGATATTGTAAAACTCTCGGTAGCGACGAAAGTAACTGTGTGCCTCTTCCACGGCAGAAGAGAAAGTTACCAAAGAAACTAGCATCAGTTGCACAGGTCAGTACAGTACAAATAAACACAATACTCGTTAACTGCAATAAAATGTAAACAAAGGTAATATGTTGACGGTGCGACCGTTAGAGCGAGCGCAGATACCTTTCAGTTTTAATTTAGATCGGGCTCGTCAAACTGCACGTGATATTTGCTACGTCTAGACTCTGACGTCATATGACGTCGTATGTTTGCTGCATTATCAAAACGAAGTCTGAACAGTGCTAATTTTAATCAAGAACGTTAGATCTACTATTTGTCTGCTATATATATTCATTAAATCAAAGTGAGTTTATTTTTTGTCGAATTTTTGTTGCTACCGCGAGAACGTAGTTTGTGGCGAGATGCAATTCGCTAAGCATTATGGGACCACAGGTAACTGCGGAATTCATTTGGATCAATGTGTAAAGTCCGAATTTTCTCTTCGCCCAGGCGTTGCTTTTAAGAGCTCGCAGTGACGAGCGGCGCTTCGCGCCGCTCGCTTCGCTCGCTAATATAAGATAACCAAGACGAACATGTGTCATTCATTCCACGCAGGTACCGTAACCTCTGACAAGAAAGCAGTCAGGTGTAACGAATGCAAAGGGTATACCCCAATGCTGGGTGATATCGGAGAAACTAATGTGGCGTGCCTTTATACGAGTCTTGTTAAGCTTAAATATAACTCAAATGGTTAAACCGCTGACTGTTACTTTTTAATAGACGTGGATTGAATCCACCTCAGTCCTGGCACCATATTTTTACTGTTTTTAAAGTTTCTTCTATAAAAAAAAATAATTTTTAAAGAAGAGGGTAGTATATGTTCACTTAATTATCATTTTCAAACATATAGGCATTTAAATACGACTTGGACACGTGATCAAATCCCATAAAGCCTGAAGGGTATATTTTCGGATACCTAGTTTTTATCAATCAGTAATTGAATAAACTGCTGAGTTCAATGTCCCAGCCTTAGTGTCAAAATTGATTTAAATCTCTGGACCCAGGTGTTTCTTTAAGCTCAGTAACATAAAGTAACAAGTGTCTCTAGAATTATTAGAAGTTTTTTGGGATACCCTTCTTTTTCATGCCCTTGGAGTATGTTCAAAATGGTGGCAGTTACAAAGGAAAAGCCAAATCAAAGATGGCGATCTTAGTAAGCGCTTCGCATCACATGTATTGATGTGTTTACATAAACTGGTGTTGTTTTGTTGTGTTTCATTTTCAAATTTTAATATATTAAATGTTTATCTGCACGTACATTTCGTTTTTCTTTGCCAAACGTTTTCACCAAATACGAACAATTACTGGTCAACGTATTCGTATCCAGAAAGCGACGACTAGCGTCTACAGTTGAGGGACTGTTCAAGAGAGATTCTGACTAGCACACAGCTGCTGCTAGAATACTCAGTCCTAATCTCTCGAGTGTTTTCGGAGGTAAAAGTCAATATATGTACTTGTATTTTTTCCATTAGAAGTGGTATAATGTTACATCACAAATCTTATTTAACAGTGCGTGCTCCATCCAGTAGAGTAAAACAAAGCGTTAACATGTAACTGATGAAATTGATTACTTGATAAAACCAAAAAGAGTTTATAGACATACTTTATCCTATTTTAATTTTAAGTTTTGAGCTAAACTTTATTATGGTCTGTTCTTCCGGGTCTTAGATTAAGTTTTGAAAATAGTGTAAAAAGTGAAGATAACGTATAGTGATCGATCATAATTCAATCCTTTAAACAATACAACCTCTGAACACACGGACCCTGGAAACGCCCAAATAAAGGGGTCAGATCCCAAGGAGGAGTAAGTATCCCCTATGGATCGGTTTCACACACACCGTTGGCCCTCTATTTGTATTGATCAGGTAAACGGAATAATTCATAGTCAAAAGTCAAAATCAGTAAAAAAAAA